TTATCAAACATGCACCCAGAAGAATTCATTAAATAAATAAAAGAAGCGTAGATAACTTACTGATTTAGTGTGTGGAAATTTCGTTGATTGAAATTACCTTCTTTGCAATTTCGTTGATTGAAAATAGTTTCTTTGTGAAAATGCTATACCATATAATATGCAGCCAAGATATCATAGAAATTCATATAAAAAACTAGGTATGAATAAGTTTATGGATGTATGAAGAAATGGATATAAAGTATATACTCAAATCATTTAATATACGTGAAAATTTAACCTCCCTTTCTCTTTCAACCATAAATGACAATAATTCATGTTCCATAAAGTTACCCCAGGTACACACATCGTGGATGATAGTTACTCTTTTGCTTAGCCTCTTAAAGCCTTCTTTAACAAATCATGTATTTGTCAAAATAGTGGAAGCTTAAATATCCGACTGGATTATGGCTCATCCAGATATTGGATTATTTTCGTTTATTTTCCCCGTATATGTGATATACGTATTCATTGTAATACAAGTCTATTTTTTATGTATATTGCGTTTCATTTTAATAAAGATTATAGAGATACAAGCATAAAAACAATATATTTAAGGAGTTTAAATAAAACATGTATGTTAACACGAAGCTTAATTTTTCTCTACCTGCTAATAAAAAAGTTACTCGGATAATTGAATTCCCGATATTTGGAGTCTAGAGGGCTAGAGTTCTGCCGCACTTTAGCGTGTGTCTCAAATTTCCTTCGCTTTTTACAGTTATAACCGTAATACGAAATACATTCTAAAATTTTGTAAATTATCATCATAGCTAAATCTTAGAATTATCATACAATAATATGAGGAATCTGGATTATGGGGGTTTCGTATATATGAAATTTGAATAATTGGAATTCTGCGGCATTTTTACCGTTATTGGCAGTTTCGGATGGCAGCTGTTTTGAAAAATCGTAGTTTCATTATGCAATATGTTCATATCTTCGAATTATAAACACAATAACTTCTTGTTGTCAACAGGCGATGTATTGTTAGTTATGAATGAGCTTTTGTTAAATCTTTTCATTCTTAAAAGGAATTACGTAAATTATTTGATCATATCTATCGTATCATTTAACTGCTCATATCTGTTCAATAAAAGAAAACATTTGGCCTTGAAAAAGAACTTCAATATGGAAGTTTAAAGCGTATAAGCAAACGCAGACATTACCTGTTCCTTCGGAAGTAAGCTTCAGTGCTTTTAAATTTCTTGACCTTGAGATTTTTGTATTGTCATGGCCACATGCTATTGCGTGGAATTACAGTATGCTTAGGATTTTTCAAATACGCACACAAAGAGTGTGCGTATTTGAAATATAGTGCCTTACAGAGATTTCCCGCAAATTTCCTCTAATGTTGGGAATAAATTTTCAAATGCAAATAATAATAATAAATCTGAAAGCTTTCAGATTTTATATTACGTCCAAAGGGGCGTTTTTAACATTTTGTGTGTTACCTTTGTTTATTAAATATCATGTTCTTCGCCCTTAAACTATAAAATTCCAGGTACTTTTCCATTTTGCCGGCGCAGGCGATAAAGTCGCCGAAAATAGTACAACCAATGCCAAACTTAATATACTCGCTGGTAACCTTTTACGCCTCAATTTTCAAAACAATCCGCAGCCATTTCTAATCAGATTGATTGTTTCTTTCAATACTTGCATACAGTTACATAGAATTTTTAATAGATAGTTCAATTTTATGCCCTAAGGCCATTCGCGGTAATGAAGTCAATTAGAATGCAATCACGCAGCTCACCCGAAGGAGAAAAATATAGAAAAGGCAAAGTCTAGGGTTAAATTCATCAATTATAATGCGAATGCACTAGCGAGGTAAAGCACTGTGATTTTACATAATTTCTGAGTAAGCTATTCGTACGAATTGAAATAATTCTTGCATTTAAACTTGTATTCCATATTAAGATTTAACTTGAAATTAATGTAGATAATTACTGAGAGAATTATATTTTTGTAGCGTAGTTTACGTGAGATTGGGGTCTCAGGATATGAACCGGCGAATTAAGATGTTGTACCATGAAAGCATAGTAAATTCTTAAATTAATGTCTTTTTACAAATTGTCTTTTTACAAAATTTTACACGATATTAAAATGTTTATGCCTTCAAAAGAAAAAATTCTTAGAATTAACATTTGTTGACATTTTTATGTGTATACTGTGTGTTGTCGCCAACAAAGTCTGCTTGGCGAGATTTGCGCCGGCGAAACGGAAAAGTACCAAATTCCATTCAACAGCAATATCGCCAAATAATTAAAAGAGCATATCTTTAGAATTTCCGATAAACAGTCTCGCTTGCTGGAGATCATTTTTTTCCCCGTACAGTGTTGCATTGCTCACTTTGAAATCGTTTGTTAATAAAAAATTCTTTAATGTCTGACAAAATATGAAATTGATAATAAAACGAATTCCAAATGCCCATATTCGAATGGAGGACTTCGTTATTCAAAATTTGATGCCTCTAGGTACCGCTGTTTTTCCACATTGCGAGAAACATACATACATTCATGCAGATTCTTCATTATTTACTTTATTTAAATATAATGCAGGGCTCTAATATTTGGTGGCAACAAATTGAAAAGTGATCCGGCGCAAAATGCCAAAACAGAATTAATAGACTTTCTGGGCAAATTGCCCCTTTGGCCTAATAATAATAATAATAATTGTGATAGTATATGTTTGCATAATTAGAAATAAGAAAATTTATTTTAAAAACTATTTAAAGTACTTCCATCGTAACTTCATGTTCCATAATAATTCTGTACAAATTTTTAATTTACTATTATTTCTGGAATAGCTACAGTTGCCACTACGCAATCGATATATTAGTTTCATTTTCTGTTACGACTGGAATGCAATGTAATACGAGAAAGTTTAGACTTACCTTTTAGAGTTATTTTGCTATTGATAATAATAATAATAATAATAATAATAATAATAATAATAAAAAAATTAATTGTTTAGTCTCGAAGAAATAAAATTAAAGTTTTCAATCCGAATAATTCTGAGGGTAATTGGTATTACTATTTCAGAAATGATGATATTTGTTAGTACCAGCGATGTCGAAAACTGAATTCCTAATACCGGTAATAATGATAGTGAATAGATAGTAGCATAAAAATTATTAAAGTAATCATAATGTGAAAAGTACTTAACTAGTATTTTTTTATTAAAATAGAAATTAAGTTACAAAACTGCAGTAATAACTACGGCTCACAGGAAATATGTACAATCAACTATTTATTTTTCAGTTAGTAGCCGAGTGGATTAGTCCACTGAATACTAGTAGTTCGATTTCGGCTCAAACCCTGCCAAAACGGCAAACTATGTGATTCTTTTGAATTTTTGGCCATGTTACAAACATTAATGAGAGTCAATTGTTCTTAGAAAATCCTCCTCGAATGCTCTTTCTTTAAGCAGAATGCAATTGCCAGCTTTTCATTAAACAGTTAACCAAGACAAGTTGACAGCTTTTGTAATCATTAACCAATTAAAACGATTTAATATTAAATGCGACACAAAAAATCAGCATTTTCGGTTTTATATAAATTTTCAACTCGTTATTATTTCTTAATATTCATGTTAATGAAAAACATTGATATGAGCATCAAAAATCATTGCAGTGGGTTGCAAATAATAGCATTTCAAAGCAAATAAATTTGGAAATTTAAACTGCGTTATCTGCAACAAATTTAACATTGCAAGAAGTAGGAGAAATAACTAAAGCCTTGAAATCAAAATTTCCTACTTTACATTAATCTGCAGTCTTTAAAGAATGACTACACTGTCTTCAAATCCCACTGAGTTGAGTTGAGGAATAGGTTGGCCTCATAGGTGCTTCTTCGTTTTCCTCATGTGTAACGTAAATATCAGTTTGTCTCCTTAGCAAGTCCTCCACGGAGGCATTCTACGATTTTTTTAACCAGAAAACGTTCTATGCTTTGCGGTATTGAATTTATAAGGAATTTCTTCCGCCTTCTTAGCGATTCTTCGTGGTGTAGTGGTCTGCACGCTCAGCGCGTAATTGAGAAATCTGCCGTTTGATTCCCGGCGAAGGGGTTGCTAATTTTTCATCTCTCTAGTTTTCAAAAATACCTAATGTCACTATAGTGGCACCCAAACTAAAAGGGCCCAAACTAAAAGATGATTCTCCTCACCCAGGATTTGGCAATTGGGTCCTCTAAAAACCCCAGTTGCCCTTTAAAAGGGGGAGTATATAAGGTATTTCTCCCGCCTTCTTAGCGAGCCTTCGTGGTGTAGTGGTCTGCACGCTCAACACGTAATTGAGAGGTCCGCGGTTCGTTTCCTAGCAAAGGCGTTGGTAATTTTTCATCTCTCTTAATTTCAAAAAATACCTAATGTCTCTACAAATTAAACAAACAAGTACAACTGAGAGTTTTTTTTTTTTTTTTTCGAAGAGAGAAAGTATTCTTGAGAAATCGCAAAATTTAGTTCAAAATATAGCAAAATAATTTGAAGAGAACCAAAAAAGATCGATAAATCAAATTGTCAAGCATTAATTGATAAAAGAACTAATGTTCTGGAAGAATACTTTTTCACTGGAGAAAGGAAATAAGTAATGCATAAATAAAAAGATTTGAATAAAGCATTAGGAAAAAAAAATGCTTTGGAATAAACGTTTCTGGCGACAGCTTATTATTTGAAATGAGAAATATCATCTCCTACGTTTAAACTCATTCTTCTTTCAAAATGTCATATGTAAACAAGCTGGGGATTGAACGTTATGTTTTTGCACTTTAAGAAGAGAAATATTCTCTTTCCATAATTCAAAAGCGTTTTGAAATGCATGGTATTAAAACTTGTAAGTCTATAATAAAAACATTATTAATCAAAAACGAAAATACTTTCAGAATAATGTAGAATATTAATTCTACATTTCATGACATTGTTCCTTTTTTATACAAATAATCTAAATACTTAAAATTTCTTTTCAGTGCGGAAAAAGACAGGAAAGAAGATAGATGGGACAGATCTTTCTCTAACACGTGAGTATTCATTCCCATGAAATGTTTTCCGATTATGCCAATGTCGCCTATAACATGACTGGAACGTCTGTAATCTGCATGTGAATTGAAGGGGAAAATTTTACGTTTAAATATTTATAGTTCACAAATCATTAAAGTCATACTATTTTCTATCATCGTGAGTCCAGAAACAAAATTTACTTCAAACCCTGGTGATATTTTATTAATAACTTTAGAATAAAACTGTCATGAAGATGACAGTTTTTGGAAGTTTGATATTAAACAAACTAAATAATGCAGTTCTAAAATTAGCAGACATAAGATGCAAATTAAATACTGACACAAGTTTTGTAGGAATGCATTCCAGCTTTATAAAAACATTCTTTCTGCTGCTGTGTACTTGCAGAATAACATCTCTTACCTGAAATTATTTTCCCTCCAGTTTCCGCAGTTCTTTCTTTTGTCTAACCACGTTTCTAGACAAGAGTAGTGCATAAACAACGCTTTTACGACCGAAAAAATCCAGAAGTTACTTTCATTACGCACACGTACTGTCTCTTTCAGGATGTTAAAAATATTTCTAGCTAACAAGACTTGCGTTTTCGAGGTTGTCGATAGTTTTCAGACCAATTTCAGTCTGATCAATGTCGATTTTTGCTGTTTCTGACTTGGAGGCTAATTTCGCTATTTTCATAAAGGATTTCAAAGATATTAAATTTCAGCTTGTTGGAGTTTTATATTCTTTCTGTGGTAACTTCACCGTGTTATTCCTTTATGTAATAAACTGCTATTAGGTTATTGGAATTTTTTTTATAGATTTCTTCTTGTAAACTAATTGTATCCCTACCGCTGGTGTTTATAATAATGGACGAAGGCAGCTCAAGATTTGTATGCCTCTGCTTTAATTCACACCATGTGTATATATTCTAGCTGTTTTAAACAGTTTTGTCTTTTGTAGATCTGAATAGCAAGTATATAATTAATTTAAATATCTTTCATTTTGATAAACAGCTTTATTTCCCCACTCGAAATTTTTCTAATTGAAGTTTTCTTTTGATGGGCATCATCTGGAATTTCTTTTTGGTGTCCCTTAACATCTTTTGTGACTTCCTTGCTAGCCTTGTACTGCTTTCCCAACAGAAATTGTTGAACCATAAATCAGACAAATACATTTGTTCTTAATATTAATGAAAAAATATTTCTCTTCCCATTCATTGTCGAAATTATTGTAGGTACGTTTTTTTCTTTTTTTCCCAGCTCGTATGATGACATGGTTCGGGTATTAATATTTATTAAAACTAATGATTAACATATATAGAAAAAGCGAATATTTTTTATACGTAACTTCGAAATTTCGCTCTGTGTTTGCTGGTTCGTTTTATGCAGACTACGGAAGGGGCTGACATTGTTGCTGAAAAATAACTAGACTTTCCGCGACAAAGGTATTTATAACGATCAACAAAGCAAAGGATCATCGAGAGCTTTGCCATAGCCAAACAAAACCAAATCTTCGTATTTTCTATTAAAAAACTTCAATAGCGTAGAAAGGAAGCCATAGAAAGTAAAGCTATTGAAATCTCTTTCTAATTTCTTTAAATACTCTGTCCAGTGTAAAAACAGTTATCTCCCCAATTCAGTTTTGTATTAAAATCGGCATCTTGTGATTCTTCGCCTGACCAATGACGGGGTGGATAGGATAGCTGATTACTGGTAGTTCGTTTCAAAGTCAAATCCCATACAATAGGCTGACTGCCTATATGATTAGCGCAGGGTATGTATCATTCCATTCACGTATACAGTGTCTTGAATACGAGTCAATGCCCCTATCGTAATGTGAATATGAGCCAATTCCCATTTTTAGATTCTTCACGGAGAACTTTAGTCCTCCACAAAGACGTCTTGCTCCATATAGAGGTAACTTGTTTGTTATTTGTTGTAACTTGTCTTACTTGTTGTTATCAGGCTTAATAAAATATTCCATTGAAATTAAACGGACTGATTGTTCCTATATTCAGCAGATTTATAATTTACCTAAGTTTGGCTGCTCTTGTAACCTATCCTAAATATTTCATATGAGGAATCATCATCATATGAATTGATATTTTTTCTCCTTTTCGTATAGATTTTTGTAAAATATTTTAAACTTCTAAATGTAAGGCGAGAAAAACATCCTATTATAATTTTCTTCTGAACTGCAAGGAAATTTGCTATAATCCACTAAATGTTTCGCCTGAAGCGGACCACTCCTTCTGCTACCCTCTAGCTGCTACCCACTAAATTATTTCATTTAAAAGTGATAATATCTTACCGTTCATAACTTCTCAGTGAAATTTTATAGTACTTAGGTACGACATACTAATGCTCCATTATATATAGTTTTTACTATATTATGCGTTGTTTCACAACTGTGCTATAAGATTTAAAATTAAATTACATCTAAAAGCTTTCATATTTTATATTAAGCCCAAAGAGGCGTTGTTTTCACTTACACACGCATACATGTTTTGAGAGCATTTGGGCTAACGCCCCTTTGCGCTAAAAATATTTTAAAATAGCATATCTATAGAATTTCGGATAGACAGGCTCGCGCGCTGGAGATAAAAATATTTTATTCCGTACAATGTTACCAGTGCTCGACTTGAAATCGTTGAGGTTTTTAATCAGAAATTCGTTAAAATTTTACAGAAAATGAAATAGACAATAAAACAAATTCGAAATTCAAAATTGTGGCTTTCAAGTCCCATATTCGGTTGGAGGACTACGTTTGAATTAACGCTTTTAGTGATTCGACGCACTTCTGGGCTCTGTTTCGACGCACTGTTTCTAGACTTATAGCATTTCTGGACTGCCCCTTTGGGATAATAACATTGAAAATAGTTAATACAAAACATTTAAAAACAGAGAACATTAAAATATTTAAAATAAAAAATAAAGTTATTTTCCCAAATGTTTTTAAAATATAAATTTTTCTCTAATTGTAGGAGAATTTTAAAACATTTCAGGTCTTCCCGCTAAAAGATGCACATATTTTTCAATTTTTCTTCTGCATATACTAAAAGTTCTCGTTTTTTTCTTCAATATGAAGGATATTAGTTCAGTGATCATTTAACTTTTCCTTCAGATGTCGGTAGAACAAACAATATTACATAAAATAAATTTTATAATAATCTTCAAAGAAGTAGCGTATATGGCTTAATATGTATCTGATACTTACAGCAACTCGTATTAAAAGGAAATTGTTGCTGTATGAAAAGGTGCATTGTATTCTAAGATGACATAGATGTAGTTTGCCTGAATCAAATATAGATAACTTTCAAAATGTGAAGGTTAAAATAATACCTTATGAAGCCTTTAAACAGATGTATAATTTTAACCAAAAATACTCGTATCTGAATATTTAAAAAATATGTAGCTACATAGTTATATAAATAAATATACTAAGGATAGATATTATTTATCATTCTTATAAAAACAATGTATAAATTTAGCTGTATTTAAAACCACTTAAACTTGTAGAACAAGCGAAATTGATTAGGTAAATCAATGCTTCAGTTTTAAATTACTCAATAAATTACTCGAGTGCATTTTTTGTTATTAAATTCAGTTTCACATTTAACCATTAAAATATTTTGCTGAATGAAAAGAGGTAATTTATTATAATTTTTATTAGCTTCTTTTAAAAATTTCGGAAATATAAAAAAAATATATATATTAAAAAAGTGTTTAGATTCATATTTTACCCCTTCAGGTAGCTCAGAATGGTCTGGATGCACAGGAAGAGATTGCCGATTTAAAAGTAAGAATATATCATTTTCTTCAAGACGTGTGAATATAATTATGATTTTCCAATAACTAAAATTTAAGCAACTAGATCTTAAAATTGTTTCTCTTGACTTTTTTGAAGCCAAACTTAATAGTTTAAGTTAGAAAGTTCCAGTAGTTTCGCTTATGTGTATATAATCTTTGTTTACGAATTCTCACAAAAAAGCATTTATAACTACTAAGAACTTTTACTTTTAACAACTAAGAAAATATTATTATAATTTTCTTCTGAATTCATTCTTTAACATTTAGACTTAATACCTTTTCTCACTATTTATAGGGTAAACAGTTGTTTGAAATTCAAACAGCCATTATTTTGGTTTGCATTATGTGCTTCGATTAAAAATGGTGTTGGTTTTTTCCCTCTTTTTCTGGCTGTTTTAAAGCATTTGAAGTGAAGTTGCGTCTTACTTGTTGTTATCAGGCTTAATAAAATATTCCATTGAAATTAAACGGACTGATTGTTCCTATATTCAGCAGATTTATAATTTACCTAAGTTTGGTTGCTCTTGTAACCTATCCTAAATATTTCATATGAGGAATCATCATATGAATTGATATTTTTTCTCCTTTTCGTATCGATTTTTGTAAAATATTTTAAACTTCTAAATGTAAGGCGAGAAAAACATCCTATGTTAACATTTATCCATCATATCTCATTGTATCAATTATTTCAAATTTTCTTTTCTTGTCATAGTGATGGCATCAACCTAAAATAGAAGGGATGAAATAGAATTAATAATAATATTAAGTGCATTATATATTTCATCAGTAGTCAAACAGTTATGAAGAAAAAATGATTTTATCAAAGATATGACAAGCACTTCCCATAAAACACATTATTCGTAAAAAAAAGTGATTGCAGTTTTTATGGCGTCAAAGTATCATTTTAAAGAGGCGTAAAGTAAAGTAAAACACGCCTACAAGGCTAAAGGCGTGCTTGAGCTGATGTAAGAAACGTTAGGGTTGAAATCTGACGCAATAAGCCAGTCTTATAGTCAATGAACAATCAAATTTCAGTTAAGTGCCTAATTTTATATATCAGTAACAATAATGAATGGAACACAAAACATTTGCACCAACGTTAAGGACTACATCACCTAGGAGGGTGCAGATACAATGGTAAGGAGAAGAATAACAATGAGTGGTCTTATTCATCAATAAAGATCTCGTCTGCTAACAGGTATGGAAATGAAATGGTTCAATCTTGCGTAAGGCATCTGAGAAGAGTTCATGTGAATCTGTATTTTTTCTATGTATTATAACTCGCTTTTACTTCGAAAAAATGTAATAGATTATCTCTGTGTGGTCAGTCAATTTTTTAAAAATTTCACTCCTGTAGAGAATTGATGGGGCACCACTAGAAGAGCTGGTGCACTATGAAATTCTACAGCTAGAGATATCAGTGCTTTTAAGACCGTATTGGTGTAATGAATGAGCTTTCTCCTCCGAACAAAAATCTTCTGCCTCTAAACTCTAAATTCACTACATAATTGAGAGTATAGAATCGCATTCTGATATGCGATCACATTTCCTATTAATTACAAGGGTATTCATCTTTTTCGAGGTACTGTAATCTGTCACAAGTAATTATACTGCAGTTTGGGGTTAAGACTGTACGCATTATCCCAAATAGATTCCTCCAGTTTTTATCAATATATTTCTAAAAATTAGTAGTTTTGTGCTTTTTTTTGGGAAACGTTGTTGACAACTGCAGTTGTGAACAACAGCCTCCCTTCTTTAACAAAACTATTGCTGATTGACATGATAAAATCTATAAAAATCTTTAAAATGTATATATAAAAGGAATCTTTTATCTCCTTAATAAGCTGGATTCAGGAAATATCATTCCACTGTCCAAAAAGTATCTTATGTTACTCAAGTCATTAAGGATTTTTTAAACGATCGTTTTTCTATCGTGGAAACATTTATAGAATTTGAATCAGCTTATGATAAAGAATGGAGACTACGTACTATTCAGAAATTACAGAAATTGGGAATAAATGGCCAGCGTTTTTCTGCTGTTAGATATGGCTGTGAAATTTCTAGATTTAAACAGACTGAAACTGGCTTCCCACAAGAAACAGTCATCAGCCAATTCTTTTTAGTATTTTTATTAACGATTTACCAAACACTCCGGCACCGTGGGTGGATTCTTCCATTTTTGCTGACAATTTGGTTTTCTGGAGTAGTGCTTCTAAAAAGAAGCAGGATGGTTTAAAAGTGACTCTTAATAGCGCTTTGGAAGAGCTGGAATATTGGTGCCTAAATAATAGTATGAGAATAAATCAGGATAACAGCACGTGCTAGTTCTTCACTCTGAACAGACAGCCTTTTACCGCGAAGTCCCAATCACATATGCTTCCGCTACGAGGAACTAGACGTCGAAAGGGACAATTCTCAGAATTCGCACATTTCCAAGAAACTCACGTAGCTAGGTTACCATTTTCACTTACTACAAAGAACAATAATCGATAATCGCTCCGATTGGGATCGCGTTATCCTTCAGAAGCAGAACTTTTGTCTGATTGGTTGATATATACCCGGAACAGAGCTGCAGCCGAAATATTTTCGGAGAGTTTTAGTCCGCGTAGCCCGTACATCATTTCCGTACCTAAGTCGGGACTTCACTTCCAGCGGAGCTGTTTTTTTTTTTTTAGGAATCCTCCCGTTTAAAGCAGTGCTACCAGAATCTCGTTTCTCAGAAAATCCCGTCTAGCAGGGACCGTCGCTAGACGGTCAGTTGGCTCAAGCTCAAGGTGGCTGGCTCAAGGTGGGCTGTGACAGAGAGACATTGATAACTATTTACAAATTATACCTTCACCAATTATTGGTTAGTGTAGCTAGATCCTCATCACGGCTCCGGAGAATGTAGTCCAGAACCTCAATGTCTTCCAGAACCAAGCGTTACGCATAATTATTGGGGCAGTGAGATCTACTCCTATTCTTGCAATGCAGCTTTTAACTGATTTGGAATCTGTTCATGATTTTATGAAGAGAAAAGCGATGGAATTGAGCCGAGATTACCTAATTTTACCTCCTCCACACTTTTTTGAATTTGAATATAAATCTTTATCGCACTGAAAGAGTTGTTAAAAATGAAATGAGGGATTCACAATTAAGATCTATTGCAATGGAAACTATTAGGGTTCGCTATTCTCAAACTGATGCTGGTTGCAAGTCGACACTGACGACTCTATGTTAGAGGGAGCACGCGGTGCTGCAGCAGGTATCCATAGCGAGCTTTCTGGTTTCTACCCACCAATGGGCATTCTTACTACTGTCTTTGATGGCAAAATCGAAGTCAATTTTGTGGCTATTCAAAAACTGTCGATTCGTAGCCACTCTTTTGTAAAGGCTGTCATATTGTCAGATTCAAGCTCTTCTAAATAATCAAATTAGTTCCCAAAGAAATCTTAGACTATAGGCATTTGCTTAAGGCAATGGCACGCAAAATTTCTTTCTAATGAATTCCAGCCAACTGTGGAATTATAAGCAATGAAAAAGCTGATGCATGGCTAAGAAAGGAACTTTGATAATGCAACGCATTAATCGACCCTTTCTTTTCATACGACTAAATTATTTGCTAACATGATTCTTAAGAAAATTTGTAAGCAGGATATGACTCAACGTGCTATGAATAAGAGATGGAAGATTCTGGAAAAAGAGACAACTTTCATTCCAGTTTTCCAAGAAAGACAACAGTAGCTTTATTTAGACGTATGACCGGACATGGCTGTTTGCGAGACCGAAATTGGAGTGGTGGATTCCCCAAACTGTGTTTTGTGTGATAGAACAAAAATAGCGAGCATGTGTGGCTAATTCAAAGGTAATGAAATTGACTTAACCAAGTAAATGTAAGTTAGCCCAACGGTTACCACGGATAAAGAAACGCGCAAGTTGGCTCTGATCTAAAGTTGGTATGACAAGCCTTAATGGCGAGAATAACGCAACGTCGCAGAAAACATCTCTCGAGAGAATCAAGGTAGCAATGTCGTCTTCAGCAGCTGGAACACGCTCTGATTCTACCCTCTAAAACTTTCCTTTAAATACTGTCTCCTTTCTAGCTCATTTGAATAGACTCGAGGTATAAATTTACCTTTCGGCAGGAAAATGGGAAATGAGAAGGAGAGAAAAGTGAATTCACATAAAATAACTGGTTAATAAACTAAGCGAAACTTTATAACCATTTTAACAGCAATTTACTACTTGAATATATAATACAAGGAATCGACATATTATAATATAAGAGATAAAGAACATTTGAAAAAGCTCCTGAATGATTACTGTGGTCACGACTACAAAGTCTTGATAACTGGTGGCCATTATCTGGTAATAATTAGACTTTTCCCCTCTGGAGTTAATAAGGTCCCTTCTAATTGGGAAGGTTTAATGATCTCTAAAGCTATCCCGTTGCTGTCCTTCTTCATTTCTTCCCACTTCTTAAGATAAAATTAATCCTCTCTTCCAATTTAGTTGTGTCAAATGTCAAACAAGCAATCTTAGTGCGGGAACTGAATCATCATTATGCCAGCAGAGAAGGAAGCCTGCACTCTGCAAGTAAATTCATCTGTCTAAAATAGTTCGTACTGTTGCATCAATAAAATAACAATAAATGTCAAATGCGTTGACGATAAATGTAGAATAAAAATTTTGGATTTAACAAATTATTCAGTTAGTGTACTAGTCAATATTGTCATTTTAAAATATTTTCTGTGGGTACTAAAATTATATTTAATTTTTTGTGATAAACACTATACGATTTTTAGCAGACGAATATTGGCAATTTTAAGCTTTTATTGATACCATTACTGATATTTAATCCAATACTTTGTTCCTCTATTCAGGGCCATCTTATTCTGGAGATTCTTCTGCATTACGAAGAAAAATTTGTTCTCTGGAAGACTGTGTTCTTGCAGGTAATGAAAAAATATTGTATCTAAAGTTTTTAATTTTATTTTTGTTCAAAAGACGAATTTCTCCAATTTTAAATGTAAATGTGATATAGTTTTAGAAACCTAACTAGAAATATTTCTGTAGTTTCCAATGAATGAGTTATTTAAAGTTTTACATCAAGTTTTCTACGAAAGCGTTCTAAAAGAATGATGAAATTACAAGCAGTTTTCAACTCTGTAAGTGCAACAGAGAGATTTTATCCATCGTTTCGTCACAAACTGCTCTACTGTGACATCAACTGTTTTCATAATGTCATTTTCTTTTAGTGTACGAAGGTAAAACTTTTGATACTTATAACAATTTACGTACAAACGATATAAAAAAGATAATTCTTTAAAATCTTCCTTCTCGTTCAGTTTGGTCACCGGCGTTGCCAACGATATGAAAGTCGGAGTATATCCCTACCAGCAACCTGCTTTATTGAAAATTCGAATGGAGCGCTCTGTTCTATATAAAAAAGATCTCTAGAGTAGTTCCAAAATGATAAATTTCAGACGATTTTTAAAAGTGAATTTTTTCATTTTAGAAATTAAATCATAGTTATATGGGTGTTAAGTTATGTAATATGGTGGTAGTTTAGTAGAACACTTCCCAGCCATAACATGCTACAGATTGGGTTACTTGCGTCTGAACATTCTACGATAATATTATGAGAAGATTTTGTAAAGTGTCATAGCTTCTTTCATGAGCTGCACTCAGTTTACATAGGAAAAATAAATACTAATAATGACCGTTGATGGTCTATCTTTGACTTTAGTGGAAATTCGTAATGATGCCCCCTTTTTCAATTGGTATTGTAGTTTTAGCTTGCACGATCTGAATGTTTTATTTAATCTACTGTTATGCCGAAAGGAAACTGTGCACTCCTGTGCGGTCCAGTGTTTCAACAGCATGGCCACTTTTGCATTTTTAATAACTTCACTGGTTCTGCTTCGATAACATTGTGGCTACACATCTATGGGCCAGTAACTCACGAGAGATTATATTCTTTTCATAACGGCGCATTTTCGTAAAGTTAGTAAACTCCATGTACGGTAAGGCAGGTTAGGCATCCAACTATAACATGTGGCATACGCAAGAAGCAGACGTTCGTAACGCAGACATGCAATCTTGCGACTATTAGCGTTCCAACCCATGCATTCATGAGAAGGAAAGTTTTATAAACATTCGTAAACAAGTTCCCCCTGATACATTTTAAGGCTTACGTAAAAATTATAGGAATTATCTGAGTTACAGATGCTCCGATTCATAGCGTTTTGTTTTTACAAATTAATTCCCATTTGTTAGTTCATAATTTAATAATTAAACTGATAATGTGCGATCTTCGGAGCTTGTAACAAGTCCGCATTGTACAAACAGTTTGTTTTGCAGCATCTTTATACTAGTGCTTCATAGAGCCATTAGAGTATTTTGAAGCAGGAGACACGAAAAGTATGCAATAATCTCACCGGAACTCGAACCTGGAACTCTCGAATATGCAGCGAGTGTGCTACCGTTACACCACGAAGACATGCTGGGAGGGGAGAGAAAATATTTTATAACCTCTTACTTTAAAACAGGCAATTCAAAATCTTTCCAACTGTCTTTCATTTACGATTTAATGCATATCATCATCATTGCACGGAAATTATTTCCTCCAGCTTATTTGAGAGTATAGTATATTTATTGAGTCTTCGATTTGCAGAATAGTAAAAAACTTCAAATAAACATTTCTCTAAAGTTTGTAGGTACCAGAACACAAGTTACAGTGACAAGCAGAAATTCAACATGTTTAGAGCTTCAGAAGTTGAGACGTTGATCAGAAGAACAGCTGATTAAATTTTGATTCGGTGCTAGTACTATTTAAGAATTTACCTTTTCAAGGATCGCGTCAGTTGCACTACTTGGCTTTTTATGTATCTCACAGGCAAAGGCCCACAAGCTAAAATATCTTCACAATGTGAAATACTATCTACTATAAACTTATATCTGGAAGCCTGGTTACGTTGTCTAAAATGCCTTGGATAAGTTTGAATTAGAAAAGAAGAATAATCTCGCAAAATTTAAAACAAACATACTTAAGTTAATTGATTGGTTAAACTGTAAAATCTCTGAAAATTAACTAATTTCATACTCATTATTTTAATACTCTAATTTAAACACTTTCATGCCTTTTGCTTCACTTCACATACATTCGCTCAGACCAGAAGCTTATATATGTTTAAGCACGCGCAAATAGAATCTAAAAGCTAACAGCGGGGTGAACTTGTTGAAATAAATGTCGATTTCTAGAACCTATATGTTTGAGAAGATTTTGGTACCATATTTCCTCGGATCTTTTATTTAGAAATATTCTCGCAATTTTCTCCTTCCTCCTCCTGCGTTTAGAGAAAAAACTCTTCTAAATTTTAAAATGAATTAATTCACGTAGTGATTGTTTTCGTTTTACTATCAAAGATACCCCCCGCAAACTACTTAATAAAGTCATGCCGAACTTTTCCTTTATAATTGTTGAAATTTAATGCCAGTATAATACAAGAACCCGCCCATCACAGCGAAGCAAATACGAACTGACGTTTAGACTACGATTTCGCCTAGTCATTAATTATGAATGATTTAGCAGAGATTATGAAGAGTCATTAATTATGAAGAGTAGCAGAGACAACAATAAGATCAAGCGAGATTCAAGATACAGGGAAGTATAAATGAATATATATTACTAAATATTGTAATGCTAATATTACAATGTGTTCTTGTTGGAATGTAGGTTTCTTTTAAAGAAATAATTACCTATAGTTTATTCCGCGAGTACTTTTTATTTGTTATGTTTTATCGCAACCGCGTTCTTCGGAAATTAAACTATTTACATGATTTTTCCCTCTCCAAGACGATAAAATTAGTGAAAAACAGCTTATGTGTATACCGCATGACTTCCTTGTACGGAATTTTAAATTATACGCATTTTTTTCTGCATTTCATTTAAACTTATTGAATTGAATCAAATCTACTTCGTCGATAGCGCATAAACCACAACAGAATAAATGCATACTTTAAAATTCACAAAATATTTATTTACCATAGCGACAGTCTGGCGCTAGGTTCACTTAACAGAGTTGCATCTAATTTATTTTTTAACTCAGAATGCACAAAATTAATTATATCATCTGAAGAATTATCTAATCGTTGCCGCATGTTTTATTCAAATACTATAATACATCTAAAACGATGTATAAAAGAAATTAAACAAATAAAAAAGAAACCGTTTTTCACAGACGATTCAGCGCCACTTACCGCAACGCGCAAGCGCTACTTGTAAACATTCTCCTCTGCCCGAGACGGACAGGAAAAATGTTTGCTGCTAATACGAAACACTTATTTCCTCGAATTCCATTAGAGATACATTTCTCATTCAATAAATAAAGTTCTCACTTCGCGGCAAGGCAAAAACGCATAAACTCAAACTATCTTCATTAAAAATTGAAAGGTATAGAAAAACATAAAACACCAAATACAGTTAAAATAATTTAAAAAAATTTTTACTGTTAAAATTAGAGTTCCTGCACAAAAACAAGGAATTCGGCCAGCAGGCAAAAAGGCAGATTTTTCGGTGCACAAAGCTAAAAGACTCCTTTTGGCCCCACTCGGCAAAAAGACACTGAAGGTGCAGAAAAACTAATTCGCTGTTCTGCTAAATTTCAAATGTAAACAAATATGGCTGCTATGGTAAGCAAAATTAGGCTAAGCCGCCATTAAACATTTTTTAAATTGTTGATAATACTACAACTATAGCATGCAGATTAACTAAAAAACCTTAATCGGAAGATAAGAAGAACATAACTGAATCCTTTTTAAAGCGAAAAATGCGCAATTTACCAACATATAAGAATAAAAAAAACTGAGCTCGCGCAGCCAAGTAACAGGATGGGTATATATATATATATATATATATATATATATATATATACACTTTTGGTGCTGCCTATTGCAACCAAAACGGGAGGTGCATAACTACATGCTGTAGCAGTCCTATATACAAAATTTCAAAGTTCTGAGGCTACTCGTTTTTGAGTTATGTACGTACGCCACGAAAAATAAATTCTTTTGAATCCATTTTAAATCAGTTTTCTAATTCGCTTGGGGGAAAAGAGTTATTTATTCTGTCCTTACGTACAGATGTCACCCAAAAAACATCGTGAAATTGCATTCAATAGCTGTCAACATCGTTGAAGTGGATTCGAGAGCGGTCAAAATTGGATGTTTTCGTTGAAATATGTTACCCAGAATCTTTCGTGATTTCAATACTCCTTTTGCTTCGTACAAGGAAGTAAAAAAGGGAAAAATACGTGAGGAAATGCTGTAATTTTCAGACACCTCCGGTTGAATGGGAAGATATATTCCCGTTACTGCTCGAGATTGGTACGCGTCTTTCTCTAAAACGATTATTCAGGAATTTCTGTTAAACAATTACCTAGTCGCTTGTTTTAGATGATTCAGTTTTTCAAATTGCAGATTTCCAGAATGTTACAAGTTATAACTGATACGAAATCGACTTTTATAGTTTTCAAATTTTTGATTTAAGCGCAAATCACAAAGAGCGGATAATATAAAATTGTCAAATTTTAAATCTTTGATTATCTTAAGTTTGATTGAACTGAGGGCGATAACTCGCTGAGTAACTCATAACTAAATGCCGTTAGGTAAATTTTTTAGTAATAAAGTTAGAATGAAAAGAGGTGACAGTAACAGAGCTGCAAGTATTAAAAGAAATCAGCTTTCATTTTTAAAGATCTTTTAAGCTCCTGAATGGAAGAAATTTGAAAAATGTCTAAACTTAATTTCTTATATTTCCGTTTGAATGTTAGTATTCGTCTCCAATTTCAAAATCTGGAATAAACGAGTTCATCGAGTTCTTCCTGTTTTAGTTAGTATCAACATTTACACAAAATGTTTTTTTTTTCCTTGCAATTCTTTTTTCCCTCCAGCATCCAAAATTTTAAAGTGGTTAGATAGAAATGTGGATCCCTGTGATGACTTTTACAGCTATGCTTGTGGAAATTTTATCCAGTCGTATACAGTTCCAGAAGGTTGGGTATCTTACAAAAGTTTTGATGTTGTCAGTGAGGATGTGGATCTTACAATAAAAGGTAAGTGCGTATGCATATTAATGATATAAATCTGTAAAAATAATGGAAATTCATGCATAACTTTTGACAAAAATGCAGAAATTGGGTTAATTACGAAACCCGGACTTTTTTCCCAGGGGGTGGGGGAGGGAGCATTATTTACAGTAAAATAAATAATACACTTCAGTGGGAAATCTTGTCGTCTAATTTTCTCTCAGAGAGCTATTAGTGTTTGCCATTGAAATTTTGGACTATGATTTCCCATGAACTTTTTGGGGGGGGGTGAGGGTACTTTTGTATCGAATTTTTATGCTATTGTGTCCTACCAGCGGCCGAGCTGTAAAGTCGCTGAACACTAGTAGTTCGGTCCGAGGTTCGAATCCCACGAATAATTGTACATATACAATGGGCTGGATGCATGCGCGTTTTCGTGGTTTCCCAGTTTCCATTAGAAAGTCTTCCATGAAGGCATCCCTTCCTTTAAGCAGATAGTTCTCGAGGCTTTGCCGTAATCACACAAACCAACCAACCTTATGCTAGTGTAAAAGTTGGACTTTAATTAATTTTAATTAAATTTCAAACTATTTATAAAGTATATTTATAAGCTATTAATTTTTCAATGGAGGTATTACGATTGTTATTGTGATAACAATTTAACAAATATGAATTTTTTTGATACAATAATAATTATTAACATAAAATATGAGATATTCATAAAATGTATATTTTCTTTACTTGCAGCAATTAATCTGGTTTTGTTGTTTTCTTCTAGAACTTATCTTACTTAAAAACTTTCTTAATACCCCAGGAATCAGGACTTTGTCAACTTCTTTGAACCTAATTTTGTATTTTTGCATATACGTGTATGTATAAATATATGTATGCACATTAAACACATTAACGGACTCTCCGCCTTAGCTGAAGCTCCACTGTTAACCAGGGTTAAGGATAGGGGCTAGGTCGTTTCTTTGAACCCTTGTCGGCGCGATCCTCGTAGAGGAAGTTAACAGGAAGTAGTCTGACGTCGCTATGTTGCATAGCTTTGTCGGTTTGAAACTGTAGTTTCATTCTGTTGCGAAGCGATATTCTAGCAATGTGGACATCCCAAATTAATTTTAATCACGTATATTTGTTTTCTAACCTCTTACAACGTGTCACAGTAACAGGATAAAACTGTTCAGGGCCTATGTGGACACCCTTTATTATTGTTCATAAGTATTGCATTATTATTAATTGTACATATACAGTGCATTATTACTAACCGTACCTGTGCACTACATTATTATATATTTATAATAATCAAATAATATACATTGTTTTTACAATATTCTTTAAGTTACATATATAAAGTTTCTTTTCCCAGGTATCTTGGAGAAGCCAACATATGTCAATGAAAGCAATTCACTAACAAGAGCTAAAGCTGTATACGAGACATGTATGGATCTCGGTAAGTGCAAATTAAAATTAAGATATGGCGACAGTTTGCAAATGAATACCTTGTAAATAATATTAAAGCATTTCTAAAAGTATTTGTTTTATTAACTAACTGCTGTGGATAAGGAACGTTTTGAAATACGCTGTATCAACCCCTGATCGGATTGCCTTTAATTAAGTTCTTAATTAATGTTCTCCCCCGCAATATGCGTTGATTTTTAATAATGCAGATGGAAAAATGAGTTAAGGCTTTTGATAATGTACTTTACACACATACAGGGTGTTCGGGATAAATTTGACAGTTTCGTAAGGAAAAAGAAAATCCGCTTGCATGAATAGTAGCGAAGGTCTTCATTGAGTGCAAACTTCATAGTAGAGGCTGAATATTCATTTCACGTGACAAAGCCCGAATTCCAATGCCAGGTTTCTTCAACACCTGTTCCTGCAGATTTACGAGGAGTTCTGCTGTACGAACGCAATCAGATCGTCTGCTAGGGATCTTTCTTCTTGCTACATCCTTGTATTCACCATTGCAAGTCTCTAGTTCATGCCTGATTGTTTTTACTGTGTTCAGGGAGCATTGGGCAGCAGTCATAATATCCTTATTTTGATGGCCGGTGCGAATCATCATGATGCAAGCTATTCTCTTCCATTATTCAGGTGGGTTCCAGTCATCCATCGTTTCTGACATCTTGTATATGAATGAAGAAGGGTCCAAACTTTTAAATGACGAGTAGTGTGTGTCAATACCTACAACCTACGGAAAAATATAATCAATTATAAATATGTCGAATTTATACCAAACACCCTGTATTAGGCTAATTAAAATACATTTTATAAACATAAAAAACGATGTTCCAAAAAGCTATCGAATGTGACTAAATTGCATATGCCTTACGATAGACTATGTAAATAATCGACTTAAATAGCGGCCTTTAACTGACTAGCTGGAGCTTCAGTACATTGCAACAGATCGTAAGAGTGGTATATAAAATAGAGGGATACCTCACAGATGGGTTTGCAAACAATATGAAGAACTATTACTATTTGAGAGAAGATGTGCAATTGGAGTAAAGAATGCATGGTGATCAAATCGCAAGATCGTTAGACATTTGGGTTGGGGCAATGCTACCATTCGACGATATTGGCAGGAATGGGTGATAATGGCCATATAAATACGAGTAGATAGCATCAAGAAGACAGCGGCCTATCGAGAGTGACGGCAGAAGGCGAGGGCAGACAAATCGTCCAATCGGCGCTCACAGCCCTAGATGCGTGTGCAGTAACTGTTGTCCGGCGACTCAGCGAACGGGGGTTGAATCACGGAGGTTGTTTGCGCCGACTGCTTCTCACAGTTGCACGCCGCTAGGTACGTTTGCAGTGGTGGCGGATGCATTTGACTTGGTTCCTCAAGGAGTAGGATAGAATTGTTTTCAGTGATGAGTCCCGCTTCGAATTGAGACTGTATGACTAGAAAAGATATATTTGGAGACTACCAGTAAAGCGGTGGGATACTCAGCTGAATGTTGTCCGCCACACAGCCCCATAACCAAACGTTTTGATATAACGTGCCATTTCATTCAATAGCTGTCACCCTGTGATTGTCATTTGTGACACACTTACAACATAGTGGTAAGTCGACGAGATTCTGAGACGCCCCGTAGTGCTGCTCTTTCTTTCTTTCACAGACAGCTGGGATTATTTTTCAACAGAATAATATGATGAGTAGACGTCTGTGACTACTCGAGTACCTATCCAACTCGTCACTGGAATTGCAAGGTAAACCATCTGCCAGGAAGGCATCCGGCAACTGAACGAGTCAATACCCAGTCGGATAACGGTTTGCTTCAGCTGTATTTCATGAATAAAACAACGTTCAATTCCTATAATACTGTTCGTGTTTCATTCTCAATACGCATCTACCAAGTTTCATCCCATTTGGATAAATCCTTGTCGGTGCGTTGCTTTCTATGCTATAGTGTGCATATGTAGTTCATATATCATCATGAAATTTCACTCAGTTTGACTGGAAATTTTCGTGTTTTCCACTGAAGATAAATGCTATGATTTAGAGATCATTGAACAATTTGTAAAAAAATAGATCGCCTATCCAAATTTAGCTGCAATTTTTGTTTTATATCTACGAGTTTGGACTACGGTATTCGTAAAATTTCCTTTCTGGAACTTTACATTTCTCAAATTAGAGAACTGAAAGAGAGGTATTTCTATCAATAATTTAGTATTTCTAATACAGACAGTAAAAGGGCTTTTATTTATGAACTTATCTTTAAACAAGATTTGAGTAATGAAGAATTAGCATTTGTTAAAACCCATTTACGTTTAATTAAGAAAGATGCAAAGTAAATATGTTGTTTAAAGATGGGTTTAATTGAATGTGAGAGACAAGTACCTAATTTAGAGAAAAGTTCATATAAATGTTCATTTCTCAGAAACCCCCAACTTATTTTTATCAAAAGAAATTTATATGAATTCCAGAATTTCCATCAAAAGAGGAGAAAACAAATTAATGCAGTTTCCATTTTCTAATTTTCTCCTTTTCGGAAAAAAAAAATTGATTGGATTGAAACTGCGTATACGTTCCAATTCCCGAACACCTAGTGTACCCGCAATTATGAAATATTAACCCAATGACTAAATAATGGTCCGCTATAGCACATGAAAACCGCACATAGAAGAGCAAAGCTTTAATGCAAAGGATGCTATGACAGGAAATTGCAGTTGCAAGGACATCAAGAATCATAATTATACTTTGCAGTCTGCTCCATCAATGTGTGAGAAAAGCCATGTTATTGATTGAAAGAGATTTGTTTGACTGCCGTGCCCGTGAATGGCGTGCCCATTCAGTGATCTTTGCTGCAGACGCTAGGCATTTTACAGTGAATAATATACACTGAAGTAACAAAAGTCATGGGATAGCAATATGCAAATATACAGATGGCAGTAGTATCGCGTAAAAAATGTATAAATGCGAAGTGCTTTGGCAGGGCTTTCATTTGTGTTCAAGTTATTCATGTGAAGAGGCTTTGACGTGATTATGGCCGCACGACGAGAATTAACAGACTTTGAACGCGGAATGGTAGTTGGAGCTAGACGCATGGGTCATTCCATTTCGGATATCGTTAGGGAATTCAACATTCCGAGATCCACAGTGTCAAGAGTGTGCCGAGAGTATCTAATTTCAGGCATAACATCCCACCATGGACAGCGCAGTGGCCAACCACCTGCACTTAATGACCGAGACCAGCGACGGCTGCGTAGAGTTGTCAATGTTCACAGACAAGCAACACTGCGTCAAATAACCGCAGAAATCTATGAGGGACGTGTCCAATAGGACAGTGCGGCAAAATTTGTCTTCCTTGGGCTATGCCAGCAGAAGATCGACTCGAGTGCCTTTACTGACAGCACGACATCGCCTGCAGCGACTCTCGTGGGCTCGTGAGCATATCGGTTGGTCCCTAAACGAATGGAAAACCGTGGCTTGGTCAGATGAGTCACGATTTCAGTTGGTAAGAGCTGATGGTAGGGTTCGAGTGTGGCGCAGACCCCACGAAGCCATGGACCCAAGTTGTCAACAAGGCACTGTTCAAGATGGTGGTGGTTCCATAATGGTCTGGGCTGTTTTTACATGGCATGGACTCGGTCCTTTGGGGCATTTGAACCGATCATTGACTGAAATGGATACCTTCAGCTACTTGGAGATCACTTACAGCCATCCATGGACTTCACGTACTCAAACAACGATGGGATTTTTATGGATGACAATGCGCCATGTCACCGGGCCACAATTGTTCGCGATTGGTTAGAAGAACATTCTGGACAATTCCAGCGAGTGATCTGGCCACCTAGATCGCCCGACATGAATCCCATCGAACATTTATGGGACATCATCGAGAGGTCAGTTCGTTCCCAAAACTCTGCACCGTCAACACTTTCACAATTATGGACGTCTATAGAGGCAGCATGGCTCAATATTCCTGCAGGGGACTTCCAACGACTTGTTGAGTCCATACCACGTCGAGTTGCTGCACTTCGTCGGACAAAAGGAGAACAGACAAAATATTAGGAGGTATCCCATGACTTTTCTCATTTCAGTGTATAACAAAATTCCAAAAATTCGTAGCACAGCACATGTGAACGTTTTATGAGCGGTTTCGACCATGCTGATTTCCAATATCCATAATCTAATGTCGAAATTACTACAAACATAAGTGTATTCATCCCAATATTTCCAAAGTATGGATAACAGGAAATCGGAAAAAGAATTCATTGAAGGCCGACTAAATTTCAGGTAAACCATTTTGCCTCTTTTGACCTCATTATTGCGAGACATTGCCGCTTACTTTCAATAAGATTTCATAATTCACACTAAGCGCGGACGTTCAGTGCTTCTGTGTCTGGAGACGGGCTGGCTAGGGCAAAGATTCCGGCTTTAATGTGAAGTAAACATCACAGTGAAAGTCAACGGAGACTTTTCCTGTACGATACTTGCCTAGCCGTAGTAATCTTGTTTACTTTTCTTCAAAGGCGTAGCTAGAGTTTTCAGCGCCCGGGGACAACTGAAGATTTTGCGCCCCTTTCTCTGTGCCACGAACGGAAAACATTTCATTCTAAAATTTCGTAACATCAGTTTGGCGCCCCCTGAATGCTGCGCCCGGGGACAAATGTCCCCCCTTGCCCCACCCTAGCTACGCCACTGCTTTTCTTACAGTAGTGAAGTACGACATTGCAGTACGACTTATAAATGCGACATTTCTAAGGGTAGAATGTTCCGAAATCTAAATGCTGTGTGATTCTTAGCGTAAAATGCCCAGGCTGCAAGGCCCGCTTTTGCTAAAAGACACTATTTGACCACATATGACGTGTCATATATGGTCAAATAGTGTGCTACGAATTCTTCCAGGACTGTTTACTTCATATTGACAACTTTTATTGCCAAAATAATGACGTGATCGCTTCTAATCGAACCGAATTGGCTCATGGAGGGACGTATTCCAGATCATCTCGCTATGTCGAGGAACTATCCAACCAACGAAGTGTTGAATGGGTATATCTCAAGATATTATACTGGAACTATATGTATCTATGTCATGCCAAGTGAAGTTTTGAACTCGATCGAGAGGTGGGATGGCAGTGAATACAATTTTTTCACTTTAGTAGTGGTTTTATTCGAGTAGTTAGCTCTACTACTTTAGAATCAAGATGGTGTCTTTTTACATCCATGCCTTATTACGTATATTAGTTTTAACAACACTGATTGACTGATTCCTTCCAAGTGCGTTATCTTTTTAAAGGGCGAGAAAATAGTACATTTTAATCATAGCCCAAGCTAAACAGAAATATTTTATCACTCGAAGAAATTTAGAACTAAAAATTATTAGAATACGTCCAATAATTATTACAATGCGTCCAAGGAAATTATTAGAATACGTCCTTTTTCTTCGTTAGAAAGTTTTTATTTAAGGTGGACTAAAAGCAAAATAATAATAATAATAATAATAATAATGAAAAATCACACAATGAATTAAGGGATATGATTGAACAAAATCATCGAACTAAGTTGTAGAGTGCTTCTAAAAATTAAAGGTATACTAGGCATTTTAGGGATATGATTGAACAAAATCATCGAAATTAATTGTAAAGTACTCATAAAGATTAAAGGTGGGTAGGTATGTTAAATTTAAAAAAACCAGACTTTTAGAAGATAAGTAAAAAAGGAAATTTTACGGCAGGAACGAGCATATATTTTACTGCAGATGTAACTATCATGACCATTGCGTCATAATAAAATCTATAAATTCATTCATTTTAAATCTTGAACACTTAACCAGAATGCAATTTTCTTCTATTTTTGCTTTTTATAGTGAATATGTTTTAATCATGTTTAATCAAATGCTGTCTCGAAAATGCATAATATAAATAATAATTTCTGTAAGTTTCCATTCGTACTCATTCGAATGTGAGATCTTGAATTCCACTTAGCTTTTTAGAAATCGCTCCATTTCACATTTGTCTGTTTACTATTTTTAAAATCTTACTATTTTCAAAAAAAAAAAAAAAAAAAAAAAAAAAAACATTTCTGTCATCGTATGCTGCATAATTACCCTGAATTTCTACAGACATTTTAGTAATCAACTTTACTTCTATATTTGTCATTTAAATTATGGAAACCAGTGTATTATAGTTTGCATCTGCAGCCCACGTCGAGGAATTTTCCCTGTCAGAATTGATGCAAATTCTGTCGAACAAAGGCATCGGTGAATGGCCCTTCTTGAATCCTGAATGGAAGGATTGTCGTCTGGATGTTGAATGGAGAATGGCTAAGCTTAATTCCATGGGCGTGGATTCGTTCTTTCGCCTGGAAGCTCGTTTCGGCGGAGAGGACCATCGTCTACACGCTTTTGTAAGTACGTCCCTCTTGCCACAACATTTTCATTATCAACGCATTTGTTAAAAAAAAAAAAAAATACTAAGCGAATTTAAAATTAAACAGTTTCGTAAATTAAATTTATCATTGACGTTACTTTCACATTCAGAAGAAAAATTCTACAAAATCCAGTCATTGATCCCATAGCTAAATACAGATTTAAAATGAAGTGATTACTTTTATTTGATTAATTTGGATATGCTTCATCTAAATCTGAAGATGCTGCTCACATTATTCTATTTTAAGTCACAGGTATAACTGAACGGAATGATGTCTTATCAATGGAAAAAACAACAAGCAGCCACAAGCAGTGGCTGGAAGACCAAACGCCATTAATTGCTCTTAATCAGGAATGTCACAGAAAAGTACTTTACAAAAATGATTACAAGACATCTTGCATAAGTTTCTCCATATGACAATAAGCAAAACATCAATGTATCACATCATAATACAATAATATAGTGCATTTAGTAATAAGATACATGAATACGTAATTTAATGGTATTTCATATTATAATGCCTTAATATTATGAAATAAAGTACGAATGATACTATAAGTTAGATATAACTAAATGTGAAATATTTTTAAAAATGTTTTCTTAATGCAGTACTACAAGTGATGCATTACATTTATGTTATTTTACATAATAACTGTAGTAATGCAAAGTATTTTATAACGCATAAATAGTTATTTAAGAATGATGTATATAAGTGATATATGAGTGAACCTAAATACGATAATACATTGCGTTAGGTGATTACATTAGTTGTTTTAAACAGCGCCCCACTTACTCTCTGTATATGAAAGAAACATTACAGCAAATAAAGCGTTACATTAAATGATTCAGTGAAACGGTTATACTGTATGTAAAATGACACATATGATAATAATTGAAAACTATACTTGACGCAGGAATTCAATAATAATATGCAAAGTATTATAACAATTAAATCAATACTTGGCGTGATTCTGATATAAATAAAAAATAATAATAAAAAGGAGGGTTACTCAAAGTAAATTTTTAGTGACTCAGTGCACTTTATAAAACCTTACATGATAAATTGAGTAATGCGTACATTTTATGATACATTGAGTAATGCGTACATTTTATGATACATTATGTAAAATGTAGAACATAGTATTAAGTAACAAATACATAAATAAACAATACAAATACATAGGTACCATGTATAAAACTTCATTTCTCAGTGGTGCACTGGTCTAAATACGCTAATAGGTAATTTAAATTCATTCAAGAATACATTAGTACTCTATTACAAATATTGCAAAGTAGTAAAAAAAGGGGAAAAGAAGGATGCACATTTAAATTTTAAAAAAGCATACATGAAAGTATAAATAAGTAAACTGCAAACATAAAAGAAAAAAAGAAAAAGAAAAAGAAAAACCTGAGTAAGAAGAAGAGTTAACATTGCTTCTAATGAAAGAAGTGCACGTTTTGAAATCATTTAAGGGCTAAACTATGAATTTTTCATACAAACTTATATTAATGAGCTACAAAGAATCATCAGTGCATTTTAAATATATTCATTCATTCATTCATTATTGCTATCGCCGGAATATTGCGACTGAAATGCAACGTATCTGGCTCTTGATACTTATGCCCAAAGGGCGCATGACGGTGAATAGTCCAGACGGGAAAAAGTACGTAAATATAATACAAGATAGTTTATAAAAAGTATACTGGTGAAAGATAATATTATATTATTAACAACAGAAAGAGAAATTCAACAAAACTTACTAATTGAAATCTGATTCAGAGGAAGAAAATAAATTTAAGCTGTAACAAATCTTTATACACTTAGTAAATTTATTTAATGCTCTTTTTGATTTCAGTAACTGGCTAAGCCAATTTGCCCAGTATTGTTCTGAAGGCTGTCATCGGTAGTCTGGTATTTGAAGATGAATTTTGCGTTCAATATTTAGGTATTATTTGCCTTTTTACTATCTGAGATGTTAATGAGATGTTTCATAAACTGCACACACTGCGTTTTCTTGTCTCAAGTAAGACTTCGCAATAAATTCATTAAGAGAGTTCCTATTTATATTCTAAATCAAATAAAGAAAGAAACTACAAATAAAATATATAATTTAAAAAACACTGATTCATTTTCAGCGACTTTCATTCACTCAGTCATTCAAGAAGGATATTTAGTAACGCCGTGTAAGTCATGGAATCTCGAAAGTTTTAAAAAGCCGCATTTTCGTGGCCACCGCGAACAACCAATAGATGCACTATATATTTCAAAGCATCCAATATTCCGTGCGATGCTCACTTTATGAAACTTTGGGTAACTTCATTGTCGGGAAAGCCATGACTTATTTTAAACTTACGATACATTATTAAGATATCATGACGATATCTCTTCTGATATCGTCATCAGCCGAAATCAATTTGAGGAATTTTTAAAGTATAGCAAAGAAAAAAGAGAGAGGCGTGAATAATTCAATCTGAAAAATATATTTGACAAATAAATACACAAAACGCTTTCTCACCTAGCCAGAGTTCTCAAATGTTTGTTGTGAGCTTGTAAGCAATAACTTTGTCTTCGAACCATAAATGCAGTTAATTATGCTTACTTTATAAAAACCCTTTGGTTTACATCTTAACCGCTTTCATGCAAAAATATCTAATGATTAATTTACACTGTTAATATTACTCGTAATGTTATTAATGGTTCTTAAGCTTTTCTTAAATTATGAATACATATATTAAAAGTTCAGCGTTGCAGTTTTTCAGTCTAATCAGTCGTCAGAAATATAATTCAGCCAAGAAAATTGACAGAGTAGTAGTTAAATCCATCATGGTGCCAGATATTTAAAGTACCTTCGTTTCAGCTGATTTAGCTCATTCTGAATAAACTACGACTTCAAGCAACGAATTTTAATTATCATATTTAAAATCTATAAACGGAGATATTTTTTTCCTACTGTAATTAGTTAAAGTCCAGTTAAAGATCGATAAGACATTTAGTTTTGTTTTTTCTGTTACAGCTGAGTGTAGCTGAACCTCTAGTGAATGGTATCTGCGATGATGGCGATGATAATGTAAACAAAACGCTGGAGAAAGCATCCGAACATCGCAAGATTCTGTTGTCAGTTTTAGAATTGCTAAATGTGGAAATCACCAATGTCACAGAAGCGGATGTAGATGATATTTTCCTGTTTGATTTCAAATTTTGCAATGCTAGTAAAGTAAGTACTGGGAAAGATAAAGTGCCAGTTTTGAAAATAATTAGTTTTCGCAACTTCATTAGCTTTCTAGTTTTAATTTATTGTATCAGATGTGAAACTTCTACCCCATGTTCTTTTCAAAATTTATTATCTGAATATAAGTACTGATCTGCACTGATGGCCATTAAAATTGCAACACCAGGAAGGAATGACCTGACGAACGTCAAAATCACGTGAAAGGAAGAAGTTGGGATATGCAAATGATTAGTATTTCAGCTCATTTAGACGACGCAGGAGGAAGAAACTTTTGCACTGCATAAAAGAAAAGTTGTCAAGTGGATTTCTCATTTGGAAAGTGCTTTGTAAGGTTGGAGTCTGTTCAGAATATCGTGTTATGCCTTGAATAAGAAGAGGAAATGCTTACCAGCAAGTTTCGGAATTCGATAGAGGCCGGATCGTTACCTATCGAGAGTGTAGAATATCATTCCGTGATATCGCCCGTCGCACTGGTCCAAACACTGTCAAACGAATATGGAATCAAGAGATTGCTGAGGGGCATTTCGAGATGACAGACATATTGTGAGGTCAGCTCTGCAAAACCGTACAACCACATCACGAACCATTAGTCAGGAAATGGGCATGTTTGCAGCACGCCCAGTATCAGCTCGTAAGGTGCGCTGACGTTTGTAGTAGCGTGGACTATCAGCAGAGTGATCATTACTTCGGTTTAGAGAGAGACGGCGACTCTTTTGCGCCAAACAACAAACCTGGGTACAGAAGTAGCACAATGTCGCCTTTTCAAATCAGTCCGGGTTCTACGTGCAGTATTCGGATGGCCGTGTACGTGTCTGGAGTGTCCGAGGAGACCGCACGTCGCCTGCTTGCACTCGATATTGGCATAGAAGCCCTACATCTGGCGTGATGGTTTGGGCAGCCATTGGGTACGCGACACGCTCATCTGTAGTTCGGTTCGACGGTAATTTGAACTCAGATGGGTTCATTTCTGACATCTTACGTCCAGTGGTTGTGCCCTATCTTCGAGGCTCCCAAAAGCCATGTTCCAACAAGATAATGCAATACCACATGTTGCACGTCGTGTTATGACCTTCCTCGATACGCAGGGTATAATTACGGGGCGCAGCCCCCAGCCCACCTAACCAAGACAAGCTTGGTCATATGACTCTACATGGGAGCAAGCCCGTCCAACAACAAACGACGAGCCAGCGATCCAGCCGTGCTCAAAACACTCAACAAGAGAACAAGAAAAAACAAAAAGAAAAACTACAAGCCCCGGGAAACCAAACATCAGGAACCGAGTAACAAAAAATTAGTAAAAGGAAAACATAAAGAAATAATAAATACGACCAGGGAAATTCACTTTATCCCTGGACCTAAGACATTCATACAAACGAACAGAACCAAATAATAATAATACTGTTAGAAACAAAAAATAAGACGACGTAGAACAAATAAACACATATACATACATCGTTCACACAAAAATGCCTATGGCTTTTTTTGACGAATTTATAATCCTCATAATCTCTCTAGAATATTCTTGAAGATTCTTATAATTTTTCTTAAAGTCACTGTGAAGTTGTTTTCTATATTTAACCCTTGCACTCCCGGTAAAACTACAGTCTTAAAAAAAAATGCTTCGAGTCTCCAAGATCATTGCAAACTTTACATTTATCACTATCCTGTAGTCCAAATCTTTTTAAATAAGCTGGAAAACGACCATGTCCTGTTAAAATCTGATTGACATTAATATCTATATACATTTCCATCTTTTTTCCCAAATATATATTTTTTAACAAGCCATAGTTTCTACTAGAGTGTTCCCAGCTGGTTTTCCACTCATACAAGACATGATTAAATAAAACGGAGGTGGCTCTTCTTTTAGAGTATGGTATATACTTCGCAATAACATTCTCATCCAATATCGCAGCTTTTGCCAATTCATCAGCCCTCTCATTCCCATCATAACCAGCATGTGCTTTCACCCAGTGAATTTTAATATTATGTATATTTTTCAATTGTAAAAATAAATTTTTTATATCAAATACTAAACAGTTTTTATTTTCCGGGCCCGAGAGAGATTGCAGTACCGACAAGGCGTCGGAATAAATATTTATGCAATAACCAACTTTTAAAGTCCTTTTAATCCAATTCAAAGCCTCAAATATTGCATACATCTCAGCTTGATACACAGAGTTCATAGCATGGAGTTTAAATTTACAATTATGAATCTCAATGCCATAGAAGAAAACAACAAATGCACCTCCAATACCACCCTCGAGCCCCGAACCATCTGTATAGATATCCAATTCTTGATATTTCAAATAGTTACAATCATAAACAATCGAAATTCTATTAGCAGGATGTATATAACTATCATCAAAACTTCGGAAAGCATCGCTGTTAATGCTACAATTATCAATCTTTATTTCCTTCACCAAATCATTTAAAAGTAAAAATTTTTGATAGTAAAATCTATATTGGGAAGAGAGGGGAGGAATTCCTGCGAGAATACAGACCACCTCCGTAGAAACAGTCCTGAAGACTCTAGTAATAGCCAGCATCCAGCTCCTCTGCAAAGAATTTAATTTATCTCTTAGTCTGATCAGCTCCCCTGCCCTAGCACCCCAAGCACCTATACCATAAAATATTTTCGGTAAAATAACACAATTAAAAATCTTCTTCAATATTGGTGCTTTCTTTTGTAATATCTCCACATTAAAAGTACTCCTATAAAAATGTAAAATCTTATCAGTATCTCTGTGTAAAAGTTTAAAATGTTCAATAAAATTCAATTTTTCGTCAATAACTACACCAAGATATTTAATATTCTTCTGAAATCTAACATTTTTCCCATCAAATTTCAATTTCGGGACTCTAGTCTTGGCACCTCCCCTAGGAAAAAAGAGTCCAAAAGTTTTATCCACATTAAATTGAATGTTTTCACCTTGACTCCAATTAAGCATCTGTTTTTCGACTTTAGTAAATGTATCCTGAATTTTCTCCAAAGAGGTGCCACTAATAAGAAGTAAAATATCATCAGCGTAGCATATAATTTTTGCATTAGGAACATTAAAACTAGTCAGGAGTGGGGTAACTATAAGGGCCCAGAACAGGGGAGCACTACATGATTCCTGCGGACATCCTTTATACATTTGCAAATTTATATCAATATTTTCTGATACACCCTTAAAAACTATACTTCTATTATTAAAATAATCCTTAATGAGCATATACAACTTTTTTGTTACCCCTAACTCAATCAACTTGTTCAACACGGAGGACCATCGTACAGAATCGAAGGCAGCTTTTACATCAAAAGAAACAATAGCAACATGTTCAGTGCTCTTCAATTTTCGTATTTCATCCACAACCGCAGGGTTGTGGTTCGATACGCAGGGTATCCGATTGCTGCCCTGCCCTTCACGGTCTCCAGATCTGTCACCCATTGAAAACATCTGGTCATGGGTTGCTGAGAGACTAGCCCGCCACCCCTCTCCAGTTAATACGGTTGATGAAGCAGCATGGAATGAGTTGCCCAATTTGACTGTATGCCTAATGGGGTAAGGGCCGTTTTACCTGCCATGGATGGCATCTGTTTCTACTACTTTGTCACCCAAGGAAACCTCCAAAATGCTTACAAATTTAATCATTATGTCTTCATTCATACTGTTTACGTGCAATAAATATCTTTTTGTATTTGCTTTTCTTTATGATGTTGTAATTTTAATGGCTAGCAGTGTATTTAAGTGAGAGAGTGCAGAAAGCATGTTTATATTCAGAGAGGTATATATCTGCATTTACAGGCCAGTATGAGTTTAAATACTTTAATCTTAAAGAAAACATCACGTTCCAATTTGTAATTTTTATAGTTTAAATTATCAGTAAACCTTCGAATGAGACATTTTATAATTATCAGAGTTTTATTTATGTTTCATATTTTATAACTAAATAAGGCTCGAAATTTATGTAAACATAAGGAAAAAAACATACTTTTATTATAATTCTTTAGTATAAAGAACAAGGGAATAATGCTAGGATAGTTACTGAGCCGCAAAACGTAGTAACTCGAACACAAATCAATATATTAATACCTTTATTATTTGATAGTCATAATAGTAACTTTCAGAAGAGAATAAAACATTCTTATTGTTATAACTTTATTATTTTAGACGCTACAAAATATTTAGCAAGAATGCAATTCTATGAAAAATAACCTCAAATTTGACATGATACATAAATCAAACCTGCATAAATCAGAGACTGTTTAATGTTTTATCATAGTAGTAGTCTAGTCCCTTCATATAAATATTGAAATATATCTACAAAATTTGTAGATCTTCAACTTTTCCGAGGCTAACTTTAGGACATGAAGATAAATTAATGGGCTTTTCTACGATAAAATCATTTACCTCACATTTGCTATTATATGCATCAATGCTATTATGTTCTGGTGAAATTAAATGTTTCAAGCTCTGAAGACCTGAATTAGCGCTTTATAGTGCTACAAAAACCAAAAGACAGAAGGGGGGAATATACGGGGTGATCCAAAAGTAGAAAAAAAATTACTCTTTCGAAAAGTAGAGAAAGTAGTATGATGAGATATTCACAGAAGTGCGCAGAAAGATATGGGATTTGTTTAATAATGAAGGATTTTATAGCCTGGATCTTTGAATTATTAATCGATGGGTGATGCTTCAGTTGGGTTAGAACTTCGTACAGTAGTACGCTACTGTACAATTCGTAACACAGCTAAGATTACAAATATTCAGTGTGACGGCTCCAGACGTGGCACGACACTCTGCATAGTATCAAAAAGGGTTCAAGTGTCACCTTGACAAAAAATAACTTATTTCGATGTGGTCAATAATGTTGTCTAACCTCTGTACACCTCTACACTTGTGACTTTAAGTAGCTGCATAACCAAAGATTAGAAGTAACTATTCTGAAATAACGTTTTACCTTATTAAAAAAAATAAATCTCGCTTATTTTTGTGATATCTCCATCGTACTATTGTCCATACTTTTCGAATTATTGAATTTTTACTGTCATTTTTGTGTTACTTTCCCATCACCTGGTACGATTGCCAGTCAGTTTAATTCAATGAATTTGCAGGGAGTCAGGGCTTCTGATGTTGTTTAAATGTTCCATAAAGCTAAATGTTTATTTGTAGATATTTATTTGATTATAAAAGCTAATATGAAAATAAAAACTGAAGACGTAATCGTGTCAGTAAATATATACTTATAAATGACAGCTACTTGTTTTTAAAACTAAGCTGTCAAGTAATATATATTGAACTATTATAGATCGGGTTCCAAATTAGATAAATTGAAAAGTATAAAGCTTCAGCATTATAACCAAAACTTAATTTCGGGTTTTGAACGAAGATGACGTTTCAAATGCATATCTTAAATTTCATCTTCCTGACCTTCAGTTTTAAATGAAATAAATGGGACTTTTACTAACTTAATGTTATGAAATTAACTATTTTATTGTGTTTTTTTTATATTTCTAAATACAGCTAGAAATTCGCTAATTAATCTGATTGAAATGTTTGCAATTTCCCCCCCAGTTAGCAAGAGAAAAAATAAAAGTAATGGACAATCACTCATCTGTTAATGTCACTCTTATGAATTTAACAAGCTTAGCAACGCAGGTAAGAAACCTGAATTATTTTATCCTCGCTTTTCATTGTCACCACTATTTTTATAACTTTGTTTTTATTACTATTATTTTGTAGCTATTTTGCAATAATCATTAACTTGAATAATGATATGAAGTGAGTGTTTTAAAAATGCCATACATCAAAATTGATATTTTAGCGATCTAAATATCTGTTAAAATATTATAATTTAAAAAAAAATCCGTGTTTACTAGCTTGTTTTAGTACTTGTTGTTATTAGTTGCTAATGGTAATAACTTAGATTAAAAAATGCAGAACATATTCATAATCGCGAAGAATTGCAATTGTAAAAAGGCCTCGCTCTCTGTAATACACATGGATATCTCAATGTTTCAGCTTGAAGCATGCTTTTTAACTTGATTGTCCAGATATCATCTCACAGCCCTGAAAAATCGGGCCTCTAGCAGTACAACAGTAAACATCAGTCTTCTCTGAGGGTGCTCCTACAGGCAGCCATGACCACATTCAACTTTACAACAGCATTCAGCAACAGTTCGTTCTCTTTAACAAATAAAGATGACGTTAACTATACTACTAGGCCGTTAGGCTATAAAACCTACCCTTTAAAAATAGTTTGCTTTTATGTATTCTTTTCTAGTAAAGTCAGCGTTTTTTAAGTTGTCAATGCTGTTTTGTCATGCAGTCAATATTTTTTGTATTCTAGAAAGTCAGTGTTTCTTTCTGAATTATACATGTTCTTTTATAATAATTAATAATTTCCAGTTGCTTCTAAGTAGAATTTTGAAACTTACTGTCTTCCGATTAAAAAAGAGAAGTTTTCTTTTTAAAATCAACTATGGCATTTTAGTTTTCACAGAATATTAGAGGCAAATTTATAACGCAAAAAACTAATACAATCAAAAGTCTTTAATCCGGACGTCCATAATCAGGAATGATCTATAATCCAGGCATCAAAGCTATAAACTTTCTGCGCATGCGTAAACGCATTATGCGCTATGCGCATAATACGTTTACGCATGCGCGTTTAAGGTATAACGGACGGTATAAGCTAAGCTAAAATTATCTAATTATCTGTTTCAGTTAATGTTGCAGATTGCGTTGTTCGTTAATCTTCGAATTGAATCCGGCTTATTATTTTTTGCAGACTGTTAGAGCAATTTTATAAAAGTAAGCTTGAACTTTCGATTATGTCAAAAAGAGTTTCCAATTCTGGAGCTGCCAAAGGATCTACAAAGCGAAAGCATGTTTCGATGTCCATTACAAAAAGTGGAATTGCTGCAAAAAATGGATAAAGGCATGAAGAAAGTGACAGAGAGGTGATTTGTTTCCCTAACCATTCCGAAATCTGTTTATTAATTTCACGCTGCTCTGGGAAGGGGGAGAAACGTCGCGGCGCGCAATGAACTGGAAGTTGATCTATCAGCACTATCCTTATCTTCAGGGCAGATGTTTTTTATTTTATTCGGCTTATAATTCCTTACTAAATATAGTACTTTATCTCTATGTACTCCGTCTTTGATATGATTTAAATCAAATTCCTCGTCATTATAAATATCACGAATACACATCAAATAGTTTTCTGGTTGCAATTTTCTAATTTCGACTATGCGTAACATATGCTTTACGCATGCGCGCGTTGAAAGAAATGTTTAATAGGTAAACAAATAAATATTAAGCTTTTTTTTTGTAAATTTTGATACCATTTAGATCATAATTGCTCTTTATTTCATAAATTACAGTTTCATATTTTTAATTGTATAATCTGCATGCCATCTTACCAGATTTAAATTGATGATCTATAATCCGGAAAAACCGATAATCCGGAATCGCCGAACTCCTGACGAGTTCGGATTAAAGACTTTTGACTATGTATATATATATATATCATTTATATTCTGGCATGTTATATAACCGCTATTATAAATACAGAGTTCGCGCCATTTTTCGTCAGATTGCTTTCTCCTCCTGCTGCTGGTCTTACCTTTGTTAGAACAGTTCGCAAGTAGAAACAGAACTTAGAAAGTCTAAATTTAATCTTATTTACTTTAAATCACTATTGAATACGTAATTTGGAGAATTTCATTTCAAGGAAAAATGATCTGCGGTGAGAATTGAATAAAGATGTGAAATTTAAAAAGCTAAAGTATTCTTTGTCATCATCTTGCCGCCTTCTACTCAGCCACAACAATGCCTGGACTCTGATATAGTTATATCGTCAAGATTTATCATTCCTGTGCCTGCCTGCCAGAATATTACACACACACACACGCATATATATATATTTGCTTTCGCAATGAATCCGAATGAAAATCTTTGAGACTGACACAACAATATAACATTTATATCTTCCCAAGATATCTAACAGATGACCGTAAGAATTCCATTTACAAACTTGAGTAATATAATAATTAAAAATGCTTACATTTTAGTCTCGATTCGTAATAGAGAAAAAATTTTATTTGAAGCATCTTTATTTTTCTTTCAGATCAACTGGATTAGGTGGCGAAACATAATTTTTTCTGAATTGCATTTGGATTTTCCTCATGATAAACAGCACATATATGTTGATGGAGTCGAAGCAAGCATCAAGGAAATCTCAGAGTTGATTCACAGTACGTCTTCTAAGTAAGCCATTTTTATTTTATTCGTATTGCCATAGGTATAAAGAATCGCTGGAGACGTCGTTTTTGAGAATGCGTTTTCAAATTGATGAGATCCTTAAATTTTGTAAATATGTTCGCTGTATGTGTTAATATGTCTGCTATTAGTAGTCCACAAATACATTTTGCGTTCATTAATTTGTACATACTCAGGTAAGACGGGAAGTACCTTTCCAGTTTCGTACTTTATTTAACTCTACTTAATTGTATTTTAATTGTGCTTGGTGCATCATTTGATAAAACGGGACTGCCTGGATTTTATCTGGCCAAGTAGGTTAATTGGACTTTGCCATTATTCATGTATATTTTTAGTGTAATATTCGATGTGACGAACATTGTAAGTTGTATATTGCCTAATGATATCTCCATGAACATTGTAAGTTGAATATTGACTAATGATACCTCCATTCTTACCATTATGGATCTTACCATTATTTAACCTCATCTGCCAATCTTAGCTTTAGCCTCATTTGCCAATATTAACCTTACTTTACATTTTATGTATGAAGTACATGTAAATTGCTTACATGTAATTCCACATCTAGAATTTTTCTCTATATGAAAGTAAAATATAATATTCTCATCAACATGCACTGGGTGGCTGCTTCGTAAATTCGCTTAAAAGATGCAACTTTAAAGGTTTAGAAACAAACCGCTATCTAATATTTTTTTTACTCTTGCATCAAAATAATGTAGAAGTAGCATGGTTTGTTGACGATTTGGTGGCATAATAGTGTTTTCAAATTTACTGCATTTCTCTGAAACTTGAATGTGAGAAGAAAAAAAAAATTAATTTACTTTTTATCGTCTCTTATAGAGTATTAGCCAACTACCTAACCTGGAAGTTCGTAGTTTATCATCTAGGCTTTCTTGGAAAGGCTTTTAGACAAATCCTGGAGAATCATTCAAATCTAAGGTCGCGACAAGCACGTCAACTAGGAATGGATTCTGATCGCTGGTTACCCCGATGGCGGCAGTGTGTAATTTATATCAAAGACTTAATGCCTATTGCTATTTTACCAGAATACCGTGAACTTATGAAGTTAGAGGGAAGAGAAAAAGAGGTAAGCTTTAGTATTATTTTATTATTACAAAAATGTGCCTAATGATACCTCCATTTTTTTAAAAAATTACAATCGTGTGCAAAATTAAGAGAATTACATCTATTTTTACGAAACATAGTGAACATAGTAATTACAGAGTCGAATATGTAAGTGTACACATGCGTGCGTCGGAGCGGCGATTTGTGTGCTCGTACTCCTTCATAACATTCACCGTGTTTCTCGCAAGAGTCCGCTAAATTTTATGATGTGTCGGATAAAATGAGTAGCCACGAACATATGGATGACGGAATAAGATGGAGATTCGTCGATAGACTGGAGGCAGGTCAGTCACAAGCGCAGGATGGCTATAGAGCTTAATGTAACGTTCCATGTCTTCTGCAATCTATGGAAACTGTTCCAAGACAATGGATCCATACCGAGAACACCTGCACAAGATCGACCAAAATCCATAACGACGAATGAGGATCTTTATTTATTTTTTATTTTTTTTTCAATTTACCAATACTGGACTGCTACATCATCACAGCTCTCACGTGAGCTGTATTCTGCCACTAGAATCCGAGTTTCACGGTTTACAGTTGCCTGAAAGCTTCGTGAAATAAGACTGTATACCTATTTGCATCATGTTCATTGCAGCTCACAAGTGAGTGCGTTTAACATGATGCGGATGACATGCGCCTTGGACCAGACTTCATTCCAACAGTGTGAGTTTTACAGATGAGTAGATATTCATCCTGAACACTAATTCTTGACATATCTGTATCTGGAGAGAGCATAGAACTGGGTACCATCCCTCGCTCATCATGGAAAATGATCATTACGGTGGTGAATGTCTAATGGTTTGGGCAAGCATTATGTTAGGCGATCGTACATCCCTGCATAATGTTTGAGAAAGATTCCTGGATTAATGGAGGACAACGCTCGTCCAGGTAGAGCTCAGCTTCCCGGCGATTACCTGGAAAGTGGAGATATTCGCCCCAAGAATTGCCCAGCCAGATTTCCTGACTTTAACCCTCTAAGAGCACGTCTGGGACATTCTTGGGAGGGCAATTTCATGTTCCTATCCCCCTCTGCGAACCATCCTGTAGCCGAAAACAACTTTTTTGCAGGAGTGGGGTGGACTGCCGCAGGGACTTCTGAACTGCTTTCTGACCAGTGTGCCGCCACACTGCGCGACCTGTCCGGCTGTGAGAATGCACCATATGCCATACATTAGACTTAGTTTGATATCGCAATGATTTTGCACATCTGTGCACTACGAATTTACTGATAAGCATGCCTACATAAAAACACTCTTGAAATGTACACCTCTTTCTCTGTTATAAATGTACATTCATACCAATGAATGAAACTAGTAGATGGAGTTTCATTCAAATTATATATAATTTCCATGAAATCTATCTACTAGTTTCTCAGAATTTCGACATAATGTGTAAATTTTCTTAAATTTGCGTACGAGTGTAGTTACTGTGTATTTACAAACTATTAATACTCTGAAAAGCTGTACAGGTGATTTTATTATTATGGTAGTTATAGTGTAAAGAATGTTATATCTTGAAACCAAACTTGAAAATTGAAAACTTTATATTATATTTTAATGCGTTAGAGAAACATTTACCATTAAAAATCTTAAACCTTTAAAAAAGTGTAGAGACATTAGCTATTTTTTGGAAGCCGGAGAGATGAAAAATTAGCAGCCGCCTTCGCCGGGAATCGAATCACGAACCTCTGGAATACCGGCCCAACGTGCAGATACACTACACCACGAATACTCGCTAGGAAAGCGGGAGAGATACCTTATAAAAGTTTAAAAATAAATAGATAAGAAATACAAAAAGAACATACAAATATTTTGCTTTTTTTTTCCCTTAAGTAAAAATAGATAACTTATAATATTAAATCCTTAGGTAAACTATTACTTTAGGCCAATTTGTTAAGGATTTAATCTTCAGAAATTTAAGACGGACAACATAAAATCATATATTTAAATTGAGAAACACTAAAGTGTTAGAAAAGTGTGTTACAATTTGAAAAAAAAATGCAAAACAATTTGCAGTGTGATATGTTAGAGTCTGGGTAACACCTGAAACAACGTATACACATCACGGGAGACCTTGAAGAATAACCTTCAATTGCCTATTTTAAAATAGCATATTATGGCTGTAGTCGTATGCCGATGTCAATTTTGTGTCCTGTCGACTTTACGCTTTGTGGAGCCTGTGAAATACAGTCTTCTATAATATGCCGTTGCGATCTCCGTTATGCCAATGTCGATCGTATGTCGGCGCCCTTTCTATAATTAATTTCTTTTCATACAGATTTTGTTTCACATTGAAATTTTTTTTTCATAATTTGAATTCTAAATAATATGAGACGAAAAAAAATTTTTTTTTTGGTTGGAAATAATTTATTAAATTACATTATATACAGTATCTTCAATTTAAAAGCACTTTCTTCTTAACTTGGAAACATTTCTAGAAATAAATGCAAGAGATCTTTAAATAAATATCTTACATCGCGTACTAGTTTTAGATAACTAACAGTAGAATGATTAACTGTCTCAATCCAGTCCTGTTTCTTGGGGAAGGTAGAGTTGTGGAATAAGATGCTAGAAATTGTTTTAATTACAGTGTAACAAGAAAGTGTAATAACATACATAAAAAAATATGATGTGTACACCATATGACTTCCTTGTACGGTATATTAAATTATACGTTTTTTGTTGCATTTCATTGAAACTTATTTGGATTGAATTAAATCTTCGTCGATAGCGCATAAACCACAATAGAATAAATGCAGTCTTTAAAATTGACAATATTTGTTTACCATAGCGACACTCTGGCGCTAGGTTCATTTAGCAGCGTTATGTTTCGTTTATATTATAACTATGTCTGTGTCTATGTCGTAACGCAATTAAGAGGCAATTAGCCTAGTGTTATAACTCAGAATGCACAAAATTTATATCATTTGAAGAATTATCTAATAGTTGCCACATCTTCTGTTCAAATACTATAATAAATCTAGAACGATGTATAAAAGAAATTAAGCAAACAAAACAAAAAAGAAACAGTTTCTCACAGACGATTCTGTATTTCTCATTCAATTAATCCTGTTCTCACTTCGGGACAAGGCAAAAATACATAAAAACTAAAATATCTATAAACACTTAATCTTAAACACTTATTTCATCGAAAATCTTAAACACTTATTTCATCGAAAAATTCCAGAATGGATTAAGCATGATTTAATTGGCAATAACAAATGAAGGCGTTATCTTTGTTGTTGCGAAGCTTAGTCTCTCTAGATTGGTAACAAATCTACTATTCTACTGCTTCAAATGTAAACAAATATGTCCTCCATATTATTTAAAAATTAGGCTTAACCGCACTTAAACAGCTTTTAAATTGTTGATAATTCTACAAATATTGCTTACAGATTTCCTAAAGACATAAAAAACCGGAAGATATGAACAACATAATTCAATCATTTTTAAAGCAAAAAATGCACAATTTACAAACATATAAGATTAAAGAAACTGAAATCACTGAGCCGGGCAAAAGAGTGGATATATATATTAATATATTTATATACGTTTGGTGCGGCCGATTGCAACCAAAGTACGAGGTGCACATCTACATGTTATAGCAGTCCTATATACAAAATTTCAACGTTCTGATTCTACTCGTTTTTGAGTTATGCGAGATACATACGTATGTACGTACAGACACCACTAAAAATTCTCTTCAGAATTCATTTTAAAGCAGTTTTATAATTTTTTGGAGGAAAAGAATGTTTTATTCTGTCCTTACGTACAGATGTCAAGCAAAGACATCGTTAAATTGCATTCGATAGCGCACAAAATGGTCACTTTCGTTGAAATATGCTGCCTGAAACTTTTCGCAGTTACAATACTTCCTTTTTACTTCGTACAAGGAGGTAAAAAGGAAAGAAAAAATAAGTATAATATAACATATATGCGTATAAATCCGGAGAAATGTGATGGCTTTTTTATGACTGCAATCCTACTCACCTTCGCTAATTTTGCTAATCAGATTTTAGGAGGTCAGTTGAAGTTTAGATTAGGTTATGTGTTCTATGGCATTTAATCGTATTATGCAAAGATAAAGAGTGACAAGTATTGTCTTAAATTTTTGGAAGTATTTTATCTAATTGGTAATCGTATTTCACTCGCTTAACGTTTCCTATATTTCAGATGAATTACGTTGCTTCATTGATCAAAAATGAGTTTAGAGTGATCTTGAGGGATACGAGAGATCTTTTTCAAATTGATCAGTTGAAGAGTAATCATAAGGTAAGTGATTTTTAATATTATTAAAACTTATGAATAGCAAAATACAAACTTTAACTTGAAATTACCTTTTGGCTCAAATTCGTTAAATCATTTCAATTTATTCACTTTTTGAGGGCAATGGAATAATTGTTCGGAAATTATTTTTTACCTACGAATGTCTAGTAAACTTTGAGATATTTCAGTTGTAACTGACCACATTTTAATTCTGAAAAACACTTTCCAGTAATTATCAGCAGCATAAATTGCTTGTGTTTTAGCTTTGGATACTCTGAAACCAGTACTCGCAAAATTGCCGATGCCCTCATTTATTGTACTGCAATAAACATATTGTGATAAGGATTGACGGACTATACGGATTTCAGATAGATCTATAGGAAGAGGCTTTTGGTCTGCAAAGGCTTTATAGGCTCTTTGGAAGAGTCTTTTGGGCTTCATAGGGCCTATTTATAGGCTCTCTGTTTCTCACGATGAGGTCACAAGTTATCACGGATAGCGTTCTGGTGCAAGAACAAAATTATAAATAAGTTGGTTTTATTGCATCTCCACAGTACATTGACAGTTAAGGTAGGTAGCGGGTAGTGATTTCAGGCAGTTTCATTATTTTCGAATCTGTCACAAGCTTTATGAAGAATTTTCTGCTTCCGCATTACTTGCCTTTAAGGTGTAACTGGTAGCACGTCCAGCTAGTAGTCAGAAGATCCAGATTTTGAATCCTAGCATAACTGATTTTCATCGCATTTCACGATACAAAAACTCTGAGCACTTCTGAAACCTGACCACACTAAACTTCACAAAGCGGAAAAGATTTAATGCTTCTTTTTTAAAAAAATCAGGTAAAAAAATTAACTCTGAGATCAAACAGCCCTTGAAATTTATAAGCACAGGAAATTGCTGAAACTTACTGGTACAGTTGTTAGATTATTTTGATGCTGGAGACGTGAAACATGAGCAATGCCGTCGCCGAGACTCGAGCCTGGACTTCTCGAATACGCGCCGAGTGTGCTAACCGTTATACCACGAAGGCATGCGAGAAAGAAGGGAGAAAATACCTTATATACTCCCCCTTCTTAAAGGGCATTTCGTGGTGAAGAATCATCATCTACACCTTTTTAGTTCGGGCGCCACTGTAGAGTCATTAGGTTATTTTGAAGCAGGAGACATGAAATTGAGCAATGGCCTCACCAAGACTCGAACCTGGAAATCTCAAAATAGTTATTTTATGTTTCACTTATTTTCCTTTGTTGAATTGGGCGTGACCCATTATGACCATGGGACCAATTTGTTTGGTTAGGTGGATCGGGCTGCACCCGCTTCTGGTACCTTATAACCTAAGTGGGGAAATTCAGAAAAAAATTGTTTAATCTCAATTGTTCAGTGAATTAGGCTCTGGAGTACAAATCTAGAAAATACCAGATCTTTTCTTCCACTTTCTATATGAATAATTGATCGAATTTCGCTGACTTCCAGTGTATGACATGTTACCAAATCCCTGAATTGTAGCTTACTTTAATTTTAATGTAAGCTTAACACTCTTTTACAGATTGGATTGCGTTTAATCATTTTTGAATATTTTTATTTGAGTTGGCTGCTCTGTTTATTGTTTATTTTGACCAAATTCGAAATCAATTTTACATCGAATTCTGCTAAGCTAGGTTTCTTAAAATTTTCCGATTTAAATACTATTTGCGAGCAAGATACAATATCTCATAGCAATTTTTTTATACAAAATTTGATATAGATGTTATTTATTAAATGATGAAGCGATTCCTTATGGATTTTTCGACGATATTCAAGTACGATAAAAATAATCATTCCAGAATTTTGGTTTTTGCGCCATCCGAAGAAGATCCGAAAAATAGTTTTGGAAATGAAGTTTGCTGAGAATTATCACCATTCTAGCAATCACCAGCCAGTCTTCCAAGCAGTTATATTAATCGATTTTTCAAAATCGATGTCGATGAGCTGCTAACAATGATGCGATTATAAAACTAAAATTTCAAAAATAAATTAAAATAAACTAAATTTAATTTAACATCATCTGATAGAACTGGAAGGTCTTTCCAAAAGAAGCTTGTCAAGTACATCATTGCTAAACTGATTAAATGAAATAATTTTCTTGCTTCAAAGACACTGATATTTTATTTTCCTCACTCTTCTTGTCGATTAATAACTATGTAAAATCGTTTTAAAATTTACAAATTTATTAAAATGCCCTAAAATTGTAAAATAAATGGGTCTTGTAGCTCGAGAAAGGATATATGCTAAACTGCAGGTCATTCAAATCTCCGTTACCGACAACGTAAATGTATATAATATTTCTTCACAAACCACTGAATCTATCCGCCAGTACCTCAGAAATTAAGACGCTGGATATTGATAATTCGATCCAGATTCAAATTCCGATGAAGAGGCTGACTGCATGAGTATTTTCGTGGTTTTTCTCATAGGTAATAAATAGTTCCGGTAAAAAATCTTTTAAGATTACAGCTTTACAGTTAGACAAAAAGCCATCGTGTGTTTATGTTTTCAATAAAACATACGAAACATCGACTGAAGGTTGAAGAAGGTGTGCATTGTAGGCGCACTGCCTACTAATACGTCTGGGTTTTACTTCGGAATATCGTCGGCTATGATTGGAAAGGCGCTGTGCCTAAGAGTTCCTGGAAAGACACGGAATGAATACATTTTCTCACAAGCGGGCAGCTGATTCAAGTTTAGCATTCAGTATTCAAGCTCCCAGCACTGCAATATCCACTGCATTGTGGAGACAATCATGACCTTAAAACAGTTGCGTTTCGTGTAAGTTATTTTCATACAAGATAAGGAGGTCTAGCCACAGCAGTTCGGATTTCTTTAAAGTGCTTTCCTCATGGCGGACAGCAAATTCGCTTTCCAGCGCAGCAATCTAGACGAATTTGGGGCACTTCCGCAAGCAAGATTTCCGTACAAACTTGAAAGCGGGAACATTTTCTTACCTAACAAATACTCACTAATGTACGTTGTAGGGTTTATATTTATTTTAACTAACATTTATTTTTAAGTTTAAACTATCTTTCCTGTCAAGCCTTACTTTCCCCTGGAATTGCCAATGCCAGAATATGTAAATTTGAGTAGAACGCGCAAGGATTCAAATTATCAGCGGAAGTATTCTGATTTAAATAGAAGGAAACGAGTTCGGTGTGAGATTCTTACTTAGCGAGCGCGGAGGTAGTTAGCGAGAATTGAAGAACCCCGCGTTGCGGCCTATGTGCTTGGCGGGAAGTAGTGGTAATCGTCCAGTGAGCTTCAAGTCTGCTGAATTAGCAGCGGTATTGTAAAACGCGGTGAGTTAGTTATTTTAGAGAGCCTCGTAGTTAGAATCTTGTCTTTACTTTCTTTTCAGGTTATTATTTTTATTTGACTGCCAAGTTGGCACAGTCTGTAAGCGTCAAGAGGACGCAATTGTAATTTATTACGTTGAATAAAAAGGGACTTAAACCCTTCACAAGGCTCTATCTTTTATACAAGTTTTCACAGTCACCTCTTGGTTGCGTGCAAGTTGGAGGCACGCAACGTTATAACGTAATCGATACGTAATCTTAATTTGTTTCTAATAGTGACACTTACGAAGCTGCCTAAAAATTCTTGTGCTTATAGTTCAAATCAAAATATAAATGATAAGCTAGTTACCTGCTTTAAGAATCTCTTGAGTTTTTGTTAAAAATACCTAAAAACGTTTTCAAGTACATTAATGCTTTATAAGGCATGATGATGATAGAGACATTACGTTCATTGCGTAGCGATCCACATCACCGTTTTAGAGCTCAAAACACTAATTACAGAAAGGATAGGCTGTTGTGTCACAGCACCATCGATTGGCAAAGAATTCGATACGCGTCACCACTCTACTATTATATTTCAATAAATTCGGATAGCGACTTTTATCTTTAATTAGAAAAATTCCTGCTTATTTTGATTAAAACTTCACGGTAGTGATGATGATAGACTTTATAATACATTTGGAAATGCTGAAGAAAACTTGAACGTTTTGAGTGAAATGATGGTACAATAGACTAATTTTGCATTCTAAGTTATTGATCGTTAGTGAGGCACCATGTCAGTGGACATTTGTCACAGACCACAGTTTCAATCGGTATAAAATATAAATCTAGATGTCACTGTAGTTTCCAACATTTCCGGAAATTATCTTCATATGCAAGAGAAAGAATAGAGTTTCAGATTGCTATTACTTTCAAAAATAGTCAGTTTGAGCATTGAAACCTATAAAAAAGATGTAAAAGATAGAATCTACTGGAAAGAATTAATGTATAAAAATAATACTTGTATAAGGATCAGGATTTTTTCTCGTGTTTCCTCCGCATGGATCAAGCTGGTCATCTTGAGGCTTGATGTACCGTCTTTTAAGTTGCCCTGTTTTATGGATCTTTTGTTGATGAAGCTGGAAGTTTCCGGCTTGCACATCAGAAGGCCCTGGATCTCTTTTTTGGAGAATGGGTGTTTGTTCCTCTACTGAAAAAAAAAAGATGAAAAGAAACATAATTTTCATGATGACAATTCGATATAGGAAGGTATAATTCATAAATTGCGGTTGTAACAGACCTATTTAAGTGTAATTGAACTATTTTATTCACGCCATGAACTCATGAACTGTAACCGAACTATTTTATTTAAACGCTATCTCGTGGCGATATGAAAAAACGTCAGTCGACCTCCAGCCGCCACGATGATAGCTTACTATGTTATGTTATTCTCAATGTTTGATGTTCCATTTCGTTTATGTTTCATTTTTATATATATTTCTTTTGTTTGTAACCGTTCCTGTGTGCTCTGTTAATAAATCCTTTTAAAGCTAGCCGGCATTAGTGTCTTTTGAGGAACGGCTACATCACATTGGCGCCCAACTAAATTTGAATCCAAAATGGCATGCTGTATTAGTAAGTATTAGCGACAACTGCCTTCTGTCCTCTCAGGTGCTTCAGTCGTAAGTGATGATACAGCTTGGTTGTCGATGTTGTTGTTATTCATGAGAATGAAGTCGGTGTCTGAGCACCTCCCTTCGCACTCCAAACAGATTTTGGAGCAGAACAGATCAAGTCTTTTGCATCCACAACTTCCTTTACAGCCCTTCTTGCTTCTGCATGCAGTGAACCTAAGAAGATCTCTGGGTTACAAGAAGATGGTTACAAAAACCAAGTTGCTTACGGCTGTTTTGCAACTCCAGTTTTCTGTTTCTTCAAGTAATCTGATGGAACTTCCTCACTGCTCACAAAGCAGTGGGATTTGAATTTGTAGTCAAGTATTTGTGAACGTAATGTTTACAAATGTTGGTGCATTAGTGCTCTCTTTCTTCTTCTTAACAAGCGCAGCAATCAATGTTTCGTTAGTATATTGCTTTCTACATTTTTCGTGGACCTCAACTTGCGTACAACTTTTAAATAAAACTACCCTTTCAGAATCTTGCTTTTTTACTTGTCCCAGTGAAAGATTTAGAACCTTTTGGCTTCAGTACAGCGTCTGTGCTACATATTTCAACAATGCGTCACATATACTAAACTTCAGATTCATTATGCTCGCACAGTAATTGAAATAGGCTCGTAATGCTTAACCGCGTACTATCACAGCCGAACACTAACTGAATGGTCAGTTACAAGACTAGAGAAAGTTTGGAAGGTGAAAGGAGTTGAGGTGAAAACGCTTACCGAGACCATTATTCACGACAAGCAGGTGGCTCCGCGACGTCGTGCAGAATCGGCGCTAAAAAGGTATTGAGCTAAATCAACTGACACGTTTACAATAACGAGTTTTTTACATTTCTTGCGGAAAGCCAAAAAGTTGCCAGAGCGTTCTAGCAGCATTGCATGTTATCCAAACCTTAATTTTAATATATGCATTTTGTAAGAAATTTTGTGTACTTTAATTTTGTATAGAAGGTCATCTTCGAAAAAATGCTTACGTCTCTTATAAACAAAAATCTGAAAAACTTGCCAAACTTTTGAGATTCTTTTTGATTTTCTTTGTGATGCCGGCCTAAAAATTCAGATTCAGCTCCGTAGAAAGCATATAAAACCCGTGAGGAAAACAAAATTCTGGAACATTTTTCTGAAAGCACTCTTTTTGAACCTTCAATGACTGGACTAATCTGTATTTAATGTCTTCCCCTCTTCCAGGTTGATAAATATGAAATCTCCCTGGCATATTCTGCACTATTCTGTATTTACTTTTTTATTGTTATTTATTTATTTATTTTTCAGATAGATAAACTCGAAATCCTCCTGGCATATCCTCAAAAAGATGAAAAATTCTTCAAGAAATATTACTCAAATGTAAGAAAAACTGTTCATATTTGTTTTCTGAATTTGAGAAAGTATCAAATTTTTTAACGTGTTATGTTTACTTCAGAAATAACTTCTGAATTCAAAATCAAAAACAGGCAAAGTTTCATTCGATTAAAAGTAATTACCACCACTTTTTGTTCCTCAAGTTAGCATAAAATATAATTTAACTTAGGATAAGCTAGGGATAATTTAACTTAGGGAATAGAAATAAAAATAAGAAGAGACGCAAATAAATCAAGTAATTTCGTGAAATAATATAATTGTCAATGATTTTTATTTCTTATAAGTGCGATGCTTTATGTACACGTTCTGAAAATCCTCCTACAAAAAATAGCTTCATTAAGTGCAAAACATATTGAGACTTAATAAGTTAATGAATTTCAAGTTGAAACAGTTTCAAATAAAAGTATTTACTGGGTTTTAGGGAAAATACGGTCGTAACAGTTTCACTCAAAATGCTTATATACATTATTTTACAACAACTTACTTTTAGTTTCCTGCAGAGATGCGCAGAGTAGACGCACGTCACCGTGTTATGTGAATGATGTGAAATGCGCAGCTCACCAGCACACGTTGAAAAAGGTATAAGGGAAGGAACCTGCAGAATGTTCAATTTTCGTGCCAATATTTATGCTAGGGAAGTCATTGTAGAAAATTTGTTCTTGTCTCAGAAGACGTGCGTAATAGCAGAAAATGCCAGCCAGTCGTCAACGGAGGCAGTTCCAGCAGACAGACGATTTTACGAGGGGCATTGGTGATCGGACTGAGAAGGGCAGGTTGATCGATACGGCACATTTTAGCTGATACACACCTAGATGTGTCCACAGTGCACTGGCTGTGACGACGATGGTTGTAACATGGAAATGTAACAAGTTCGAGGTGTGTTGGTGCAGCCAGAGTGATATCAGCATGCTTGGATCGACGCTTCTGCCGACAAGCGGTGGCGCACCCACAGGCCGCTTTTACTTCCATTCTGCAGCATGTTCAAGACACACTGCTTGTTCCTATATCGACTAGAAGCATTTGGTATTAGTTGGTGGCTAGTGGCCTGCACTCGTGGGTGTCCCTTAAAAAGACTGCCATCGACCCCATATCATAGACGGCAACGTCTGCATTGGTGCCGAGCTCGAATGAGTGGATGACGGAATGACATAGGGTCGTGGTCTCAGATGAATCACGCTTCTGGTTCTTTAATGATATTCTCCACGTACGAGTGTCGCTTTGATGTGGAAACAAGTCCTATCCGGGAACAACTGTGGAATGCCTTACCGCACGACAACGCAGCATCATGGTTTGGGGCGCAACTGCGTACGATTCTAGGTCATCTCTAGTTCATATTCAGGGCATATGACGGCCCAATTGTACGTGGATGATGTGCTGCGGCGGGTGACACTCCCCTACCTTCAGGGAGTGACCAATGCCCTTTATCAATAGAATAACGAACGAAAACACACTGCTCGCATCCGCCAACGTGTTTTGCAAAGTTTACAGATATTACCCTGACCAGCGTTCGCTGTTGTCCTCTCACCACAATTGTGATGTGATTGGACCCCTTTTGCAGACCCTGATGTTGCCGCCTTTAGAAGTCGAACTGTGGCAAATGGTTGGCGGGGAATGGAGAGCCATTCCTCAAGACGCAATCCTTGGTCTCTGTACCAACATGTGTTGCTTCGTCTGTCGCCGTCCAGGTTGGTCCTACAACCTATTGAGCCTACGCTCTTCTCGTTCCGCATTATGCAAATCATTTCGTAATAAAGATCACTTATTGTTCTTTGCTGTCTCTCTCTGTTTGCCGAGTTCCATCATTTTCTGGCCTCTCCTTTTTGGTATTGCATTTTCAACGTCGAGTAGTGTATTTTCGGTTTTATATAGTAGATGAATATAGTTGATCTTTGCGCCTTTCGTGACATAAATTCTTCATGATAGAAACAAGTACAGGTGCGTGTGAAGAGAAAACCTGTATGAAGAGTTTTGTAAATTATGAACACAGTGAAGCTTATCTAAACATGTTAATGAATATGAATTTAACAAGCGATGTCATTTTAATCTTGTAATCATTACAAAATTGTTAAATATTGCAATATTTAATGAGAAACTTTCATTATTAGCACTGATTGGTAATTGATTTTCCAACTGATTTTTGAGAAACATATTCACTTAACCTCGGAACTTCTGTTTGACTCTATAATAACATTTTTTAAGTAAATTGCTTTGTAATATCAGACTGAATAAATGTTTATTCTCAGCGGCGATTCGGTAAATAACTTTATGTTTGAAACATATTTTTAATGATTTTACCTCTTCAGAAGTGAAGAAGATTTTCCCTCGCTTATTGAATGAAATTAAACTTTTAGAATTGTAAGCACACATGTGTCGTGGTGCTAATAAAAGCCATTTCTAGCGTTTAAATCGAATGCCTGTTAATCAAACCGAATGAAATATTTTCGGGAAGACTATTGAACAAAGTTATGAAGAATCAGTCAACGGAGGCCTTTTCACGAGCAAAAATCTGATTTCGAACTATGAACATGAACGCTAATAATTTAAGTGTCTTTGAGTAAAATTAAAAATTTGTGGATAAGAAGGTTTCTTATTAGTTGTAAATAATGAAGGATAAGAGATCTTCTGAGTCCAACCCACTTGATCGAGTTTGAGATGGAACTATACGAAATAGCTCCGTACACACTGGTGTTCAAGATGCCTGTAATGACAGTACAGCTTTGATGATCAAGAACAGGCGCGTATACATTCAGTTATGATTATTCGTGAACCCTGTGTGTAGGGCTAGTGACAAACAGCATTTATCTTATCAAATGAATCTCTTTTGTTGCAGTGCAACACATCGAGGAGGATAGAAAACTGCTCGCAGGTGAAAAATGTTAGAAACTACGGAAATTTTTTGTTTTATAATGTCTTCCAATGTTGCATTTATAAAACTTAAAATCATGCTGAACAATTTTCCAAAAATTCATATATTATTTGATCTCTCACAGATGGCGCAGACCAGTGATTCTTTTCTCTTAAATGGAATGAAGTTAAGAACGATACGCATGAAAAAAGTCATGGAAGGTGTATCGTTATCGAAGACTGTACGAGACCTAGAATATGCAATCCAAGTGTGAGTATGTTTGAAAGTATTTAATTTTTTGATGTTCCTTTTGAAAATTTTTACTTATCTTCCAATTGAATAAAAATTGCTGTCTCTAAAAAATCTATCTCTTCTCTGCTTTTGCCTATGCATGATACAGAATTTGGTGATCCAGACAAAATTAGCTGATTTTAATTATACTCTTAATTAAAAATTAAGCTCATTAATTCTTCCTGTGCGAGTCGCATTTTCTGATATGAATGGACTTTTTTTTTTCTGAAATGGAACAAAAAAAAAAAAAAAAAAAAAAAAAAAAAAAAAAAAACGAAATTGGTAAGAGAGAGTAATTAATTTTTAAATTTTCGTTAAAATTAAGTAATACCAGGCAGTTATATTTCAAAAAATATTTGAGTGCCTTAAAACTGTACTTTGAATATATTAAAATTTACTATAAAATTAAGATTCATTTGATTTGATTATGGCAAAGCACTCAAGCGCTTTCTGATTAAGGGAGCGGATGCCTTCGGGAAGGACATTCTAGGGATAATTTGCTGATATACACTTTATACATCAGAAAAATCACAGAAACGTCTAAGCAGCCAGCCATTCGGCCGAGATTCGAACCCTGTGACGAACTCTCAGTATTCATCAATTTTACCGCTAGGCTGCTGGTAGAAGTAGAAAATTAAGAACAGTATTTCTTCCAAAATTCACCTGATTTCTTAAGTTGCTGCCTGCTTAAAGAGCTAAGTAATTTATTATCATAAAGTTTTAAAACATTCTAAAATTTTCCAGCAAAAGATGTTCTAGTTTGAAAGCAAAAAGATATGCCAGTTTAAGAAATTTAATGTTTCTTTACAGATCGCTTATGTGCAAATGAAGCGAAAGTTTTTATAAGGGAAATTTATCTTAACATGTATTCTTTATTTAAAAGAAAAAAAAAATCATCTTTTAAGACAAAGCTCAGCCTTGTACCGCACACTATAAATTAAATAAGTATTCCGCAATATATCACCAAACGGGAGTATGGTAAAAATATTTAAATAAAGAAAAGTAGCCCTATAACGATCAGGAATACTATTAATCAAAAGAAATGCGGTGATGTGAAAAACTATTTATTCTTGCAATGATTTTTAATACTCTGTGGAAATAATGAATGATTTTATGAATGAATTCAAGCATGCTTGATCATTCATTCAAACGCAGCGTAGAGATTGTTTTTTAAAGCAATTTAATCAATTAATATGGAATTTAATGATGAATAGTTAATCAGTAATGAGAAATGAAAGAGGAAATACGCATTATAATTTATCTAGCTCTTTGAGTTGAGCAAAATCAAATAACTGTTGATTGTATGGTTAATATTACGGCAAATATTCCATGGAATTACAGCAATCACAGTCTTGAAATAATTAAGAATACTGGCAGTTATGTAAGACCTTAGGAAAGCGATCTTCTTATTCATCAAAATGCACTTGAAGGCTACACCTGCCGAAATGTTTATTGTGCCTAAACTTTATAAGAGGATGTAACATTCTGGCAAAATAAAAAGTATATTCATTTGAAGGAAATATTTTTTGAAAGTCATGGCACAAGCATCCAGTGCTACGTCTCGAATACTTAAATGTGTAGCCGGCCAAACCGGGTAGTAGTTAGTGCTGTACCGTAGGGTCTGAGTTAGAATCCCGGAGAAGGCATGGATGTTCTAAATGTATATATAGGATTCATGCAGCATGGGGGCACTTTAAACTAGCAGCGAGCGTCAAGTCCTCTTGAGATGTTGATGGTAGAGGAAGAGGGATGGGATACCCTGGGACCTGTCCCATCTCTGAAGTGCTTTCAATCAAAATTGGGGGTAAGGCCGGAACTGTTTCCTGTATGGTGCTCAAGGCTTTTGCCAACGGCAGGCGTAGTCTTGCACTCGTTGTCACTAGGAATTTCCTGGGCTTGTGCTGATGTCACTGTCAGACAAGTAAGATAAGTCTCAACAACACACATACTTAAGTATTTTCTTTATTAAATAAACGCTCAAGTTTGCATGCGGCAAAGCGAAATAATTTCATAGCGAATTTTTTCCGCTTCCATTTGTGCACTGCTGTTTTTAAAGCTTTTTTTCCTACTTCTTACCCTTGATTTTCAGTTAATACACATAAACTCAAACAAACATTTTGCGTTGAATTGTAGCTTGAAGAAAATATTACGAGCGTAATAGCCAGCCGTATAGAAGAGCTGAGGGATCTTCTGTTGTAGTCAAGGTATCAAGTATCTAAAAGCATACAAAAATTTTCCATTGGGTCTATATACTGCAGCACGAGAGCACTGCAGAAGAAACTTGCATTATATTAGACATATTATTTTGCTGCTTTATTTTATTATTCGCCTAGTCGGTTGTTGAAATTAAATATTCTTTCCTTTATTTAGGCTTTACGACCCATTCAGCCGGGATACTTACAGTTTCTTCAGAGGAAATCGAATTGGTAAAACAAAGATTTTTTTGATATTTCACTTAATGCTTGTTATCATCATATCTGGTTAACACTGATGAAATCGATTGAAAATGTTTGATAATATATTTTTTCCTATTAAAGTGTTATTCTTCTGCTGCGTTTTGCCAATGTTTATCACGAGCTTTGGTAAAGAAATATGTTAATATATCTGTTTTTCTCTTTGATTACCGCGTATGCTTCTATTGAGTATATCCCGAAAATAAAATGTGCAATATTTAGTATAATTTTAACTCAGAAACTATATACAATATTTAAAGCATTTCATTGTGTAAAATAAAGCATTTTTAGATCCTCGACAGCGGCAGTTCGCAGGGCTTTCTGTATCTCAGGATTTCGAATGCTATCGATAAAATACTGCGGAGACAGGACTTCCATTGTTTCTGTTGGGCAGACCAAAACGACGAGATGAGACACCTTATCAAAATCCATGTGGCAAGCTCCTGGAGTGTTTCTGTAATACGTTGTCGGCGAAATTTTAACTGAAGCCTGCTATAGTCTTTTAAGACTCTCTCCAAAGCGCCGGACGGAGCTTAAAAATCTAGCCCCTGTTTTACTGGCAGAGTATGAAAAATATAAGCTGCGTCTGCTCTCAGAGAAGTATCGAGATGGTAGGCCTTAATTTCTTATTCGCATCCAACTGCGTCTGCCACTAAAGAGAACTGCGTTTTCTACACTAGCCAGAACATATTTTCATGAAACGTGGAGAGCCTTAGAGAGGTAAAGAAGACCTAAAGCCATCAGATTATTAATACCTAAAGCCATTAGAATTTCAGCTTTCATTATGCGTTTCTTAAAATTGTCAACCTCCTTGGTGGCAGCAGAAACTCATCGCTTTGTTGTTCAACAGTAGGAATTCCTTTTTCGACTTTTCTCCGACAAACGAAACACTTTGATTTTTTTTTCAACTTTATTTTCGATTGTGTCCGTTCTGCTTCCCACTGCCTCGAATTCGTTTTCTTTTATGGTAGTAATTTCTCTTTTCATTTCCTCTTAACATGCATCATTCTTCTTTTGGCCCGCTTTTGTCTCTTCTCTTCTAGCTTCCATCTTTACTTGGCCTCCGTGCACCTCTTCTTTAACGTATCTGATGGCCCCTTCCATCTTTTCTTCGAAAGCGTCAAAAACTGTCACCAGATGTTTTAATTGCTCAACTGTCATTCTTGCCATTGGCATTTAATCCCTCTTCTAACTCCAAAAATTGTAACGTGCGTACGGGTTCGTAATGTATTTAATGCACACAGAACCGATGAAAGCTTGAGGACGTTTATTTTCTGAAAACACTTAACCTTTCTGACACTTTCCATACAAACGTACATGTAGAGCTCTTCTAAGAACGACAGAGGGTAATCAGTAGTTATCATTTCAAGCTATAAAGATCGTGGAACACACGGGAATGCAAACGCCTCGGAAGCTCGCATTGTGATCTCTCTAACTTCCGAATTTCCAAGCTAAAGTGGAAAACTAATGCTCTCTCCGGTCCTATATATAGTTTTCCTTCTTCTGCTTGATAAATTACCAGTAGCTTAGATTTCTCGAAATTCCTGCAGGACATACAGAGTTAGAACTATATAGACCGGATACACAGGGATCGGTCCAAAATATCGCCATATAGTTGTCCAGCCAGGAGACTTTAGGTGATTTTTCGCCATCTTTGCGAACAAAAACTAGCTACTAAAACCGTCGCCAATATGGTGTTATTTCGCCAAGGTGAGATAGCCATTTATATCAATGTTAAATGGACTGAACCCTTTCGACCTATTTCGAGGCGATGCCTCGTATTGTGAGATCTTTCAAGCTATCTTACGCAAGAGATACTACAATTTGCATATCATTCCATTAAAATTATTTGCCTGTATACAAAATTTATAACAGAAACTAATATATTCATTGAAATATATACTTATGAAAATCTGTTGCCGTGTTTTTAGGAGATATGCACGATAACCTATATCCTGTCTCTTAAAGAAACACTGTATCAAAATTTCAGAAGTCATTGACGGCAGACGAATCAGAAAATAATAGATTTATTGAAGAGAAAGATGAAAGCATATTGTCTGAAAAGTTCAGTAATCTTAGATAATCTGTTACAATAAATGTTGTATCTAGAATTTCTGTCTAATATTTCATAACTACCTTGAAAATAATGCATAGATTCTCAGCTGAAAATTTTTCCCAATCGAGAGAAGGTACTTGGATGGAAATCGATCGCATGCTATGCTTTCGCACATTTTTGGTTTTAAAAAAAATGTCGTTTTATTGTTTTAGTGTGTATAATTATGTTATTTTCAATGTCGACATCAAAACGTTTCACTGATTTTTCTTTACAGTTGTTTCTCCTGCTTTTCTACAGGCCGGTCCTATTACACCTAGACTTCCAAGGTGCGATATATTTTAATTTTTTCTCTTGTTAATAAACTTCATTGTTCAGGGCACTTTATGGTTAGTTATTTATTAAAAGAAGCTAGTTTTTCCATTCTGAGAAATTCCTTGTCAGGTTGAAATAAATAATTAAATGTTCAATATAAGGTACTTAGTTAAATCCATATAATGTATACAGTGCTCAATACTGTGTTAAAAACTATATCTCTGCTGTGAAATTGCCCTATGGTATTTGGCCCTTTCTTAGACTTGCACAACCGTACTTCCTTACTTACCGCCAGCTGAGTTGCTATACCGCCTGTCATAGTATGACTATCAGCATTTGTACTCAATTGATGGAGTATTCTATTGTCGCTAGGCCTAGCCAATAATCTCTATAGAATATAAAAATTTATAGAGGAATTTATGACGTTACTTCGAAAAGCTCCTATGGATGCTCTGTTGGTAGTAATTCCTTTAGCTTTAGTTGAGTTTAACTGTTGATAGAAATGATCACGCTGATATGCGACATCAGTGGATCAGTTATGGTCATCATCAATTAAAATATAGATCAGTTATGGTCATCATAAATCCAAATGTGGATTAGTTGCCTTGGTGACACAGATATATGAAGTATCATCAGTATGCGTCAAAATGATTATTTACCTTATGATTTTAAATTTCATTTATAAATTTTTCTCTTCTTTCAGAGTGGTGCCATGAATAGTTATTTTTTGACACCAAAATTGTCTTTAATGCAAATTATTGGTCCTCCTGAGGCCGAACGGTAAAGTCGCTGAACACTGGTAGCTTGTTCGGGGGGTCCAATACCAGCGAACGGTCTGTAGTTACACGGACCTTTCGCGGTTTTCCGCATGTATAATGTGGAGACGAGCTAGTTTGCCTAAAAGATCTTCCACGGAGCATTCCTCCCTCTTTGTGTGTGCCGTAATGAAACATAAAAGTGCAAATAATTATTTAATTTCTAATATACTCTAAGCATATTTTTTTATTCAAATTTTTCTTCCCTACTTCGAGATAAGATAGACGAAAGCTTTAGACTTGTATGACTGCCGTTAATAGAATGAACATAAAAAAGAAAAAATAGCAAGTTAATGAAAACTTACGTAAGTAATATAATAACTTATTTGAATTTTCGTTAATTTAATTTCAATAATGTAATATAAAATTAACAATTTTTAGGTATTTTTTCTAACAACCACGAAAATTATATGTACCTCGTGATCTCAAAAAACAGTGCCCATGATTTCATATTTTTTCTACATCTTTAATTTCCAATTTTTTTTAGACAAGAGATACCGTTAGAGGAGAAATGTATGATTGCCATTAATAGATTATAATAGATTATAGATTATAATAGATAGAATTAACATTGAAAATAATAATAATAATGATGATAAAATATAAAAATCTGAAAGCTTTCAGATTTTACATTAAGCCCAAAGGGGCGTTTTATGTTCTTCGCACTTAAATTACCTCGGAGAGCTCCTATGGATGCTTTCGGTTGTTAAAGCATAAAATTCAATTCAACAGCAATATCACAAAATAATTTTTAAATGAGCGTTTCTTTAGAATTTCCGATACACAGTCTTGCGCGCTATAAAAAAATTGTTTTGTTTTGTTTTCGTACAGTATGCCATTGCTCGCTTTGAAATCGTTGAGTTTGTTAATTAAAAATTTGTTAAAGTTTTACAAAATATCAAATCGATAATAAAACAAATTCCAAATTTTAAATTTGATCTTCCACATGCCCATATTCGTAGGAGGATTACGTCATTCAAAATTCGATGGCTCTATGTACCGTGTTTTATCACAATGCGAGAAATATACATACATTTATGCAGATTTTTCATTATTTAATTTCTTCAAATATAATACAGGGCTCTAATATTTGGTGGCAACAATTTGAAAAGTGAGTCAATGCTTATAGTGAAGGAACGCAAATTGCAAAAACGATATTAACAGTCCTTCTGGGCAAATTGGCCCTTTGAAATAAAAAAAGGTAGAGGGAAAAAGAAAAGAAAAAAGATCCAGCAATTTAATGAAAACATGCGCACGTAATATAATAAACTAAAGTTTTATAAATTCAACTTCCAAAAATAAAATGTAAAATTAGCATTATTTGGGGTATTTTTCTGAAAACTATGAAAATGGTATGAGCCTCGTGATCTCATTAGCAATATTAATGAATCCTATTTTCTTCCACATCTCTAATTTTTAATCTGTTTTAGGTTTTTAACGTTATCGACATATGGATCTGCTATTGGACACCAGTTAACGCATGGATTCGACTTATTCGGTAAGGAATCTTCTCTACTATTCTGTGCTTTCATCACTGCACTGTCATCGTTTCATTGTTACAAGTTTTTCACTGCTGGGTACTAATTTTTACTTCTGTTTTTATGACAATGATAAATAGCTCTTTTATATTTAAATAATCATCATTAAAAAAGATAACTATTATTACGATCATCATCAAATTACGGTAACTGCGTAGAGTTTTCAAATTTATAAATACGTTAGTAATGTAATGAGCAGACCAACTATAGGTCGATCTGTTAAAATGATGAAATTGTTTTTATTCTCACATTACTGGATTAATATGCAGATTACTTTCTAGGTACTTGATAAAGTAAAAATAAGATGCTTTTTCATGCAAAAATAAAATTTTGTGCCACTAAATTAATACTTAGACAAGCAACTCATTGATATTAGGTAGTCGTATTTGAAAAAGAAGTTATATTTTTATTCTATCCGGTTATAAATGATTTCATATAATACAATGAGTAGATTATAAATAAAATACTGTGAAAGTTGTTGAAGTATTATTTATTGCTTAATTTGGTATACTAATTAGCAGACTGTGAGTAAAAAATACTGATCGTTGTTGAAAGAAAATGTTATTTATTTATTTTTCTATATCTGAAGAATCATGTTAATAGAATCAATCAATCAACACGATTCCACAATTTAAATGAACAAATTATGTAATCTGCAATTTAACTAGGTAATGGGCGCATTGACTGCTTTCGAACTTTAACGTTAAAAATTATTGCTATTACTTTTACACTAATTATTACTTAAAGCCGTTTAAAATAATCAGGATAACAATAGTCTATCAAATATTAGTCATTAACAACGAAGGTTATTAACAATGAATAGATCTGATATATATACCAATAAACTGACAGAAGCTTTCAATACTCTTTTTTCTTCTGTTACTAATCAGAAGATATGCGGCACATCGTCTCTGCTGAAATATGATTGACAAATCAGCTCAAAAAACCGGTTTAGATTTTATTTAACGCAGTATGAGCAACGTGCCTGCGTCGATGTTACACTATGTGAATGATATATCGGTATAATTCTTGCATCATAAATTATTTTTAAACTCATTTCTGCGTTCACCTATATTTAGCACTTTAAGAATTTTTTCTAGATGAAGAACTGCTGTGAAAATCTGCTGTTACCTTTGCAGTCAATTTAATGAGGCATTCTTCATCAGCACGTTCTCTCTTTACGGGACTTCCCTCAGGCATTTTTATCACCAGGCTCTTTGTGGAGTAAATTCAGGAGAGCAGAAAAGTACCGCTTTTCCAGTAAAAAGCCTGCATAAGAATTTCCATATCAACGTATCGGTGTAGATCTTATTCTGTGGCAACTATATGCCTGTGACGACTATAACTACATTGTTATTAAAATTTTTTTATCATGTCGATCATATACCGGTTATTAGCAATGTGTCCGGGTTTATACCGATGTCGCCTCTATGTACCTAATATCCTAACAACGTACAACTATTAATCTTATTCTTGTCATTTCGGTCGCTAAAATGATGTAGTCCATGGGAGAAACAAATCACGGAAAGATTTTGCTTGAGTTTGAGAAGGTACTGCAAATGGAATGCGTAATATTTAGGTTTCACCAATGAGGCTCAGCAAAAACTTCTTACTTGCGAAAATGAGTCACAATACATATACCTATAAACGACCTTGATAAATATGCTTGAATTATTTACTGTGTTCAGATTTATATTTATTTTGAATAACCAATTTTATTTAATTTTAAGCTTGCCTATAAGCCTTCATTTTCCTAATTGTCAATGCCAGAATATTAAAATTTGGTAGCTCGCGTGAACTATGCAAATTCTGCTTCTGAAGAAAGAGTTTAAATACCGAGGTCCAGAAGGAGAGTTAGGCTATGACCGTCACCTCATTAGCATGAGCTTCTACTCCCGGAGTTATCGCTGGTTTACATGGCCTAACAGCATTTACTTTGCTGCCACTAATTTCGACGCTGGTTTAAGAAACAAGAATATGAGCCATGTAGCTTAAGCTTCTACTACTTGTGAACATCTTCGAATTTTTAGTTTAGTTTTGTGATTTCAGTTACCTCCCAATGGAGACGCAGTGTATTAGCGTAGCGAGCTGACGCGTTGTAAATTTTAATTGTTTTAAACCGGTTATAAATGGCACTTTTAACCCTTCTCCTGTGTAGTCCCTACAAGAACTTGTCACTTAGAAAATAAGCAAGTAGACCCTACAAATGCAAATCAAATTTTGTACAGGTTTTGTCTGTAATTAAGTGATGTATTAAAACCTAGAAAGAGAGTTAGACGAATTTTCGCCCAGTCTGTGAAATCAACAACTGAGACAGAAGATTTAAACAAACCTTTTTTTTTTTTTAAACTTTAAAATGAAAACAATGCGCGACGTTTGCTTAAAATTCACGACTTGTGCCTTAGCTTGCTTTATATCAGTAACAGGTGCAAACGAAAACTTGTGTATCTGTCTAGGCATATTAGGATATAAGATATTTTCTCCCTTTTCCTCATCTCCCTCTCTCTCTCCCTCATCTCCGTGGTGTAACGATAGCACAATCGGCGTGTATTCGAGAGGTCCAGGTTCGCGTCCCGGCGAGGGCATTTCACATTTTTCACATCTCCTGCTTCAAATCAAAGCCTAATTACTCTACAAGGTATCGCTAACCTTCCTACTGCTAAGTTTCCGCTCTGGACGGAATGTCAAGGAAGAACCTCCCAGAGGGCGGTCCGAGGCTCTCCCACCTCTATTCCCCTACCATGAACCTTTCGAAATGATTCTAGCTCGTCATATATTTTGAATGCCTCCTTGCTATGCAGATATTATGGATATCAGAAACAGCTACATTTAGAAGCTAGCTCAGCACTGTAGTAGATCACACCCCAATTTTGCGGGAGAACACCACGGTCCGAGAGTCTCTCATGCCTCTTCCTCTACCGCCAACCTGTCGAGAGAACTTTCAGCTCCCCTATGTTTTCAACCCCCCTTGCCGCATAGACACTGTACGATTACAAACATCCATGTCTTCTTCGGGATTCCAACCCAAGTACCTTGATACGGCAGTCAGTCAGCGTTATTAACCACTACACAGGCATGGCGGCACAGACATCAGTAAAAGAAAGGTGAACGTAAAATTTAAATTAAAGCCATGCTGGAGGCTTAATGGAAGCAGCTTAACAAGCCTTCGCTCAAATTACTAAGAGCGCGATTGACTTCTGTTAGTAAAGTGGATTATGCTGGATGACTAAGAGCAGAGTTGGGCTAGAGAATCTTATTAAGGTCAGCATCGTTGCCAAGAGATCTCTCTCTAAATTTTCAAGAACTCTATCTTAAATGTTCGTCCTAAGTCTTTCATGAACACTATCTTAAATGTTACCTTAAATATTCGCACCCTGGTGAGAACTGATGAAAAGAAAAAGGTGACAGTATAGTTACAAATCATCACAAAAATGGGTTAGTTAACAAAGAATATATTTTGCAACTTGCTGGTCAACTGTTTACGGTAAAGGTAAATTGTGAAAAATTTTCGACTGAAAAGTGGTTAGATTTTATGTTAACATGAGGATAATTAGGAACCTTCCTTGCAGCCACCATGTGGAGTTCCATTAAAAGTCAAGCTCACGATGAGGAAACTATCAGTATTCTATGATCTTAACCACTTATAGTCTGTTAATTTAGAATAGGCATTTCAGGATTATTTTCTCCCGCTTGGCTTGCTTCAAAACCATGATAACAACAGCAGGTTTTGACAGCAAACTATTAGGACAGCAAACAACAGTAAACAATTAGGACAAATGATTGAGTCCTAATTGTGTTTTTCCAACTTCTTTCTATTTAGAATTTCTATTTAGAATGAAGGGTGAAAAGGGATAAAGGAAGGGGAAGTGATGACGAGACGCGTTATGATTGCAAATTAGGACCTGTTTTAAAATAACAGACAGTAGTCACTGATAGACTGTTGCCAAAGTATCGTAATAAAGATGTTGCAAGAAAGGATTTAAATTAAATATTAAATTTTATTTATAAAACTAATCTTAGAATCGAGTCTTATTTTTAATCTCACTTTTTGTCCGTATCATTTGTCAAATGTTATTACCAAATATTATCACAATGTATGATTTTTAAAGAAATAACATAGAGGATACGTATATATATATAAATTCTATATGGCAACAGAAATAAAAGAATGTAGCCACCAAATGCTTCCGCCATGGGTTTTTTTTTTTTTTTTTTTTAATAACAGAGCGAATATCATAAAAATGTATAACAACATTTAAAACTTTATCAGGAATTCTAAAGATACATGAGCGCTATTTTATTGCCATTTGGAGAAGCGTAAGCTATTTAATTTTTCTTTTAAATTTAATTTACCTGTTACTGATTAACAAATTAGGTGATTTAAAAGCAATAAACACGCTTTCTTATCTTTTATTAATGGCCAGCTGGATCCTTGAAATGACTACAGCTGGATTTACTAAAAGCATTGCATATTTCTTTTCTATTTCATAGTAACTATTTTAGGCGGCTTGCTGCTCCAGCTACTAATTATTTCAAAAGTCAAACGGGCAACAAATGAACAAATGTGATTCCATGCAAAACTGATGTTCGAGAATAATAGCCCATCTGGGCTAAAGTTTGTATGGCGATACTCAACACTGTATCGAGAATTCTAAAATTATGCTTTTCTTAAAAATATTTTGATTTTGTCGTTGAATTTTATGTGTCACGGGTGCGAAGAAAATGATGTTTAGTAATAATGTTAAAAAGATAAAAAAGTTGTATCAGCAGGAATGGATCCAAAAGCAGACGGAAAATTGCGAGGTCAACGAGAATATAAGAAACCTTAACAAAACCTTCCGATGCGACGTTAAAATCGGTATCTTTCAGATTTTCATTTTTATTTATTTATTTTATTAAATTGTATTGACCTTTTTTATATGTATATGTGACTGCAGCCACATATACATATAAAAAAGGTCTTTTCTTTGTAATTTAAAAGTATTTTCTTTGGAATTGCATTTGAATCTGTTTTTAAATTTTGCTCCATTTTATGCAGCTCTTGATGGTCGAACTAAAACAAATTGGACCACATGGCAGCCGTATGTTTTGGACAATGCTAGGAGAAAAGCCCAGTGCTTTTTGGAGAATTTTCAATACGAAGGTCCTGCTCCTCTTGAGGAAGTGAGCATAATTCTTTTTCCAAGTTTTATTAGAGAAATAAAATATGCAGAATTTATTAGTGCATGTATGATAACAACTGTAACTAAAATAAAAGTTTAAATTCTGTCCGTACGATTGTCTTCTTACGATTGTAAAAGCCCTGAGTGACAGATTTCGGTAAATAATTCAAAAAGTATTGTCCTTGATCTTAATTTAGAGATACAATTTAAGTTAATTAAAAACTCGTGTCTATGTTACTGGCAATGTACGAAAAGCAGGCATTCTATAGAATATCTAGGCGATTTATAGAATGCCTCTCGTTTTGGGGGCAAGGTATAAAAAATCCGAATTATTTTAATATTATACGTACTTTTCCTAGACACTGTATGAAATACCTAGGCATTTATAAAGAATAACAAATGCCATTTAGGTAAAATAATAAAAGAGAGTCGTGAAAAAGATTTTAATGAAAAGATGTGCATTCGTAGTTTCGAAACACATACAAAAGAAAAAAAGTCTTTACTTTGTAAATGAGAAGTATTTTATTTGTAAATGAGCTCTCTTAAATACACAAAAGACGAGTTATCTCTTAAATACACAAAAGACGAGTAAAATATCAACCCTTGGAAAACATAAGAATTGTTATAGGAAATAAAGACAATAAACAAAAGTGTATTAGACACGATACATTTTAGAAAGCAATGTAATTCTTCAACACTTGCTTTATTATCCTTTGCTTAATATTGTGCATTTTTACGATAATGAAAATTTGTGTTATGTTTCAGGCAATCAGAACTACAACTCTTAACGAAGATTTATGTGACAGCCAAGGCATCTCATTAGCTTTCAAGGTAATAAATAGCCCGTTCCTTCTTTAATGTTGAATAAATGAGTAGAATAAAATGTTATATGTATAGTAGATACATATATAAATATATATATAGTAGAAAACATATATAGTATATATTTGATTACTACCATATAGTAGAATAAAATAAGAAGCTGCGTATAGTAGAACTCTGGTTAATCTAATTTATTGGGGCGGAAACACCTTTTTTAGGATAACAAATAGTAAGACTAATTTTTATAGAGAAAAAATCTGATGTGTACACCCCATGACTTCCTTGTACGGAATATTAAATCTACGCACTTTTTCTTGCATTTCATATAAACTTATTGGATTGAATTAAATCTACTTCGCCGACAGCGCATAAACCACAATAGAATAAATGCATTCTTTAAAATTCACTCTATTTTGTTTACCATAGCGACACTCTGACGCTAGGTTTACTTAACAGTATTATATTTCGTTCATATTATAACTGAGAATGCCCAAAATTTGTATCATTTAAAGAATTATCTAATCGTTGCCACATGTTCTATTCAAATACTATAATAAAGCTAGAACGATGCATAAAAGAAATTAAGCAAACAAAACAAAAAAGAAACAGTTTTTCACAGACCATTGATTATTTCTCATTCAATTAATTCAGTTCTCACTTGGCGACAAGGCAAAAATACATAAAAACTCAAAATATCTGTATTCAAAATTACTAATTATTAAAAAATACATTACTAATTATTAAAAATTAAGTAAATCTTAAACACCTATTTCCTCGAAAAAATTCCGGAAAGGATTAAGCATGATTTAAATCGCAGTAATAAATGAAGGCGTTTATCTTTGTTGTTGCGAAGCTACGTTTCTCTAGATTGGCAACAAATTCACTACTCTGCTGTTTCAAATGTAAACAAGCAATGGCCGCCATCAAAAAAATTAGTAGGCTTAGCGGCACTTAAACAACTTTTAAATTATTGATAATTCTAAAAATATTGCATACAGATTTCTAAAGGCATAAAACCTTAACCGGAAGATAAATAACATAATTCAATCATTTTAAAAGCAAAAAATGTACAATTTACAAAACATATAAGAGTAAAGAAACTGAGATCACTGAGCCGGGTAACAGAGTGGATACTAAATATATTTAATACGTTTGGCGCGCCGATTGAAACCAAAATACGAGGCGCACATCTACATGTATATAGTAGTCCTATATACAAAATTTCAGCGTTCTGAGGCTACTCGTTTTTGAGTTATGCGAGATACGTACGTACGTACATACGTTCGTACAGACGCCACGAAAATTCTCTTGAGAATTCATTTTAAAAGCATTTTTTTTTTTTTTAGTTTTTGGAGGAAAAGAGTTTTATTCTGTCCTTACGTACAGATATCACGCAAAAACAATCGTAAATTGCATTCGAAAGCGGGTCAAAGTGGATATTTTCGTTGAAATATGCTGCCTGAAAGCTTTTCGCGATTACAATCCTTTTTACTTCGTACAAGGAAGTAAAAACGAAATGATTAATTTTTTAATGCATAGTTTTTGAAATTGAAGTAATTTCGAATGTATTTTTGGTGAACTTTAAATTTTTTTTATGCGTTTAATTTTCGGAACATTCATTTAAAGGAGATAAAATTCAATTCTAAGCGCAAAGTTGTTATTAAATTTTAATTATTTTATGATAATAATTTTTAAATTCTTAATTGATACTTCATAAATGAAATTGGAAAACTGCATGCTGAAATTTGAAAGTTCTATGTTTTAAGTGTATAAATATTCGGGATAAGGGGAAAGTGCAAGTTTATAAATAACATGAATTAAAAAAACGCAATCTCTCTTTGTCTTACATATTGAAGTAGCTTATGTATTGTATATATCTTCATTACGTATATACGTACATATATACATAATGAAACTTAATAAGAGGCAAAAATTAAAAACAAATTTTTTATACGCGTCCTGCGCTATAGTTGCAGGCTTACACAAGTCTTTACCCAGCCTTTATTTTTACAGCCGTTGTTCATAGACATACACGTGCAATTACAAATATATTATAAACGACGAAAATATTCATGCTTCGGTATTTTTAAATTTAAAGAAATCAGTTTTGTAAACTTTACAAAATCTAACTTTTTTTACGTTCTTTCGATTTTTATACTTACGTATAGGAAAATTTTATACTAATTATAAAAATTAAAACAGAGAATGTTTGACTCCCGTATGTTATATGTCAAGCGGATTATTTAACCTTTATATAATAATTAGATCTTTCAACAAAGCATCTCTGAACAACTGGTGGCTGGCAAATTTGCTAAAATAATATATAATATATCATTAAGAAACTCCTCAACACTCTCAAGTGATCACAAGTCTTTAAATCATTCCAAAAATAATAAGTTGTTAGTACATAGTTTTGCGGTGTGTTTGATGAGTAAGTAGCAAATAGATCTTCAAATTTCTAAAAATCTTACAGTTCGAACAAGGGGTGTGACTCGAAGTAGACCACAAAATATTAACAAAGATAATACATAAAAGATTTATAAATAAACACATTAATTAGTTTTCTAGGTTATATAACAATAAACAAGCGTTTGTGATAACTGGCCAGTCCGTAACACTTTTCTCTTTAAATGCATAAACAGCATACATTTCAATTTGCTAATTAAAATACTTTCACATTCTGAATAATAAACAATTTTCCTTTTGAATGTACTCGTCTAAACTTATTTAGTTATCACTAAAGACTCGAGATAATTTAGTGACAGAAATTTGCCTATTTTAGTATTTTTCTAAAATCCCACCAAATTTATAATAGTTAAAACCCTTGTAGAGATTGTGCCTGCAACTAAGGGGAACTTGTGGCAAATCCTTGAATAGACGTGTAAGCGGACTTATCACTATGTCTAAGATGAATCAGAACTTAAAAAGGATATAAAAGACCCTTTATTCAGAACTAAAAACAATTTAACTTGTGTTTACAAACCAACTAGCATTTATGGCACATTTCAAAGCTTAATGAATTCAAAATAAATAAAACTAAATTCAGTCGCAGGTTAGCCAAAGGCTACACAGAAATGAATAACGCGCAAGTTGGCTCAAACCTATATCGGCGAGACAAGCATTATTCCCAAGAATAACGCATCACCGAAGACAGTCTGCTATCGAAGAATTGCAACTAATAACGTGGCCTTCTGGTTAGGCGGAACATTTTGATTAAATACACTCTCCGATTAAACGAACTAAAATCTTCCTTTAAACACTATCTGTTTCTACCTCATATGAGTAGGAGCGAATTAAAAATTAGCATTCTGGAAGGAAAACAGAAAAGGAAAATTGCAATAAAAATATTTAACATAAAATAACCGGTTAGATAAAAATGTGAAAAATACATGAATCATTGGAGTCTGGGAGTTGGTTGATAATTTCTTTTCGACAAATCGCAGATGCGGCCAAATATTTCATCGCCATAACAACTAAGTCCGATGATTGCCGCACTAAGTTAGCTTCATTTATTCTTCATCATTCGCTTTCAGTAATTTGTTGAATCGCAATCATCCCAGAATCTGCCTCACCTACTTCATCATTCTAGAATTTTTAGTTTATGACGAATGTCCGGAACTTTATAACTTCAGTTTCTAAACTGTTGATGTAGGAAGAACCTTTAACTTGGAAACGGGACGTCGAATTCGAGATCGTCCCGCAAGCGGACCACTGTTTAGATGCTCCAGTAGAGCCGCGGAGGACACTGCAGGCAACATCTTAAATATATCTCAGACAACGGGAGATGAAACATAAGCACTTATTTATTTTCTGAAGACCTGCCAATTTTCCGAGTGAAAAAGTCAGGGAAAAGTCTGGATTTCGTGGTAATTTAATTTTTCAGTTAAGATATGTAAGCCCAAAATGATTATTTTTCAATTATATAAAAATAAAATGATAAGTTCAAAAGGAGCAACTATTAAGCCTCTGCCATAAAAATTTTTAAAAAGTACATGCGACAATATTATGTGGGTGACAAAAATTTACTTTATTTGAAAACTTTTGATGTTTGGAGCATAAAATAAAAGTAGAGAATATTCTATCAAGGACATCGAAAGAAGTATACGAATTTTCACGCTTATACCACTTAGTTATAAGGAAATTGAGGTTTAAAGTGTGTCATATTTTTGCTATATTTTGAAATTTTAAAGGTACCTTAAGGTAATTTTCATTCTTTAAGCATAACATTTTTGTAAAATCTGTATTTTTGTGCTCCAGTAGCTTAATTGTATAAAACATTCATAATCAAAATCGCTGCTGCAAGTTTTCGATTGGTGTAGGATACTAAACAAAAAACAATCCTCTGGAGACTGAAACCTGGAAGCACTGGAGCCTGGAGCAAAAATATTTCCCAATAACGCCTCAAACTTCACCAGTGAATTGATTGCAATCAAGGAAGCCCTTAATTTCTACGTCTTAAACAATTTGATGCTTCAACGGACGGACTGGTAGTATTATTCTCAGACTCAAAATCAGCACTCGAAGCTATGTGCCATGGAAAAACAAGTCTATCTCAAGAAATAAATTTTCTTCTTAATCAAATTAAAAAAAAAAAAAAAAACATTCTTGAGAGGATCCGTGCGCACGTGAACATCGGGGGAAATGGGTGTGCCGATACCCTGGTAAAAGAAGGCCGAGTCTTGGAGCAAAAATAATTCCCAATAACGCCTCAAACTTCACCAGTGAATTGATTGCAATCAAGGAAGTCCTTAATTTTTATGTCATAAACAATTTGATGCTTGAACGGATGGACTGGTGGTATTCTCAGACTCAAAATCAGCACTCGAAGCTATGTGCCATGGAAAAACAAGTCTAACTCAAGAAATAAATTGTTCTTAATCAAATTAAAAAAAAAAAAAAAAAAAAAAAAAAAACATTCTTGAGTGGATCCGTGCGCACGTGAACATCGGGGGGAAATGACTGTGCCGATACCCCTGGTAAAAGAAGGCCGAGTCTTGGACTACCCGCCCCCCTCCATTGTTGCCTTTGAAGATGCAAAGGCAGTTGCAAAACGCAAACGTTTTGCTAGACATTTTAAAAATACACTAATTCCGGACCTTGACTGCCCCAGATGCCTCTCGTCTGCAGTCGCAAGACTTGGTTCAGGCCATTTTAAAGCTGTGAAGATATATCCAGAGGATAACACAAGATCTTACCCCATATGCATAAATTGACCATAAACCCAATTAACGCCAGAGCATATCTTCAATTGCCAGGCTATCATTGCTACTCTTTACTAACTTGGCTCACCACCACATAATATGCTTTATAGTCCTCAGGCTCCAGACCTGGTAAAGTTTGTCATGCAGACTTTTGGCTCCATTTTATTCCATCAAATTTAATTTTCATGTTATATTTGCATTCAGGCGTCGTTTAGAAAATAAATTTGAATAATCTGAGGTTAATTTCGCCCCTCTCCTTAAATACCATTCAGTAATACATTTTAATGATTTTTTTAGTGTCTTCAAGTTATAATTTTGTTACATTTGGTATACCGAAAGACTTTTAGCAAAGTAATTTAAAAGTTTTCAAAGTCTAAAAGTGCATTATAATATTCTCATGAAGTTTATTACTTTAGAATCATAGTTTGGATCATAGTTGAATCATAGTTCAATCATCATTCGTACAACAAATTTCTTAAAAAACAAATATTTTTCATTTTTAATTAATGCAAATAGTATTATTAGTTGGCTGCGTACCAAAACTGAAGCTTGCCAATATTTTCTGGTTGTAGGAAAAAAAAAGTCACCCTGAAAAAAAAAAAAAAAAAAAAAAAGGGGGGGGGAACGGAAAGAAGTGCCACGGAAAAAAAAAGGAAACGAAAAATAAGTCACAATTATTTTGCATTGTAAAAACTTAGCCATGTTTAGAAATATCTCCAAGCTGGGAGAGAAAAGTTTTATTACGACAACGTGACTTTTAAGACTTGCGGATACTTCCTGACGATGACTGCAAGAAAAGTCATCTAGCTGTTCAGATTATCAATAATGGCTCCCCTTGCACCTCATGCTGTATTAGTATAACATTAAGCTGTGGCTAACTGAAATGCTGATTGTCGCGTAATTGAATAAGAGTTCATCTAAGCGTTAATATGAAAGTAGGATTAAAATAAGCCGTTGTTGATGCCCTTTAAAGTCCGGTTTGTGATTAGAATATTACCTATTTTTCCATTAAAGTATAGCATAATTCTTTTTTCATTTGATTTTAAACGTATTTGCACAGAAAATAGTTGTTTGAATAATAAATAAATAAAAGCAGCTAATAAAAATTTATGAGGTTTATTTGAAAATTATGTAAAATTTTTAAAATCTAATTAAAATGGATCCTATAACCACGTAATTTGGATTTAAACATTTTGTAAGGATTATGTTAATTTTATTAACAGTTAAATTTTAAGTTAAGGTTCCTTTCCTGTCAAATTCAACTTACTTACAAATTCAACAACTTACTTTGTCAAATTCAACTTACTCCTTCAACTTACTACTTCTGGTCAGAAAGTAGTTTTAAAATCACGTCTGAATACATAATGAGGAAGAGCGGTATTTAACCGCGAAGTTCCTGTCTTAGCCAGAGAATCAGAGTTTTCTGTTTACGCGTCGCCTTTTGCAACTCTCTCTCAAAGTGTATACGCTCGGCCGTATTAGGTCCTTGATAAGCTTCGTAGTCAAAAAGTTAAGAGGACAACTCGATTTGAATTGATAGCTTCGCTTATTTCTTTAGTTAACTTAGTTTTAGTTTAATTCTTAGTCTTAAGTTCAAGCCCGAGTCGGCTTTGATTGTACATTCCCAAGACGGAGTTTTTTAAATCTTATTGGGATTAAATGTTAGTTAACCTCCACTTGTTGTTTCTTATCACACGAACTTAAGCGATTATTCGCTAATTAGTTCTTAAGATTCGTCACTTTCTACAGTAACTGAGAATTACACTAGTGGGAATCTTACAGTTTAATATGCAATAAACCCACTTCCAAAAGTGACCAGTATTTCAAATAGTAGAAACTTGTACTGAGTATTACCTCAAAGATTACCAGCTTCACAGAAGACCAAAATAAATTAGAAACGTGCATGATCGTCTCAGAATGTATTTAATATATCTTATCTTACAAGACTTTGTAATGCATTTTACGAGCATTAATTTTAAAAATACAATATATAACGAACCATCTTATCGTAACCATCTCCCTAAGATGATCATTTCCAAAAGTGATCAGCATTTCCAAAAGGATAAACAAACGTTTGTACTGAACATCATCTCTCTAAGACGATTACATCCACAGAAGACCAACATCAACTAAGATTTGGTGTTTTTTTTTTTTTTTTCATAGCAGTTACATTCATTAGAATAAGATATAAAGCTGAAGGAAACTTATAAGCGACTTATGTAGCTAAACAATGGTAGTTCGACCTGAGTTCAATTCCTAGCGAAGGGGCCGGCTGAAAGGGCGTTTTCCTGGTTTTCCCTATGTATAGCATGGGCACCAACCAATTTGCCTTATAATGTCCTCCTCGAAGGTATGCCTCCTCTTAGGCAGCTAGCCCTCATGTGCTTTGTCATAATCAAGTAAACCAAACTAAGGAAACTTATAAATTTGCTCCCTGGACTATTAGTTTTCAATCAGAGATGGATAAAATAATTCAGTTCCACGGCAAGACAGCATGTGTTGGAAAACGGAAAACATCTAACCGATTAATGTATGACCATGCAATTCTATGTTATAAAGCTTTTGTTTTGATGAGTTTAGCCTTCCTTAGAGTTTATTCCATTAACTTTGAACACCTTGAAAGTTAGGAATTTTATTTAAGATTTAAAATTAAAGCATGATGCGTTGTGTAACATATTCATAAATATTTTTTAATAAAAACTTTTTAAAAGAACTCGAAACCGCTGAAAAGAAAATATGTATTTCATTCATTATGTACAATTAGTTTAGCGTAAAAAAAAGTGTTTAGCAGCGTCTTTATTCTTTCCGAAATATTTTTAAAGCTTAACGAACAACAGGGAAATATCATAAATAATTCAACAGGGAAAATAAATCAATGTATAAAAAAACAACAAAATAAAAAAAACTAAAAGCATTCAGATTTTATATTACATCCAAAGGGTATTTTTTTAACGTTTTGTGTGTTACCGTTATTTTCTAAATACCATGTTCTTTGCACTTAAACCATAAATTTAAATTCAACAGTATTTGCTGGCAACAATTTGAAATTTGAAATGCCATTTTATAGTGGATGACGCAAAATGTCAAAACGAAATTAATATCCCTTCTAGGCAAATTTTCCTTTGAGCTAAAAAAAAAAAAACCACTGATAAAAATTAAGTAAGCTATTAGATCCATGTTAAAATCATGAATCTATAGTTTTGCGTTTTACACTATGATAAGAGGGTTCATGTGTAAGGATCTCAAGTTTTACTAACGTTTATTTTATTTTAAAATTTTACTATCACTTCTTATTTTCCACTTCCGGCCAGAATTAAACGTGTTAACTTGTTTATGCAAATTATACTTGCTAACGCCCAAGTATTTAAGTTGTGGCTTTTTGTCAAGAGTTAGAGAGAAGGGGCCTTGCTACTGTGTTCCGCACGAGTTTTCAATCAGCTGCTGTCTGTCTTTAAGGCCAGAGGTTTAGTCCTCTTGATATTTTAAAACGTATTGTAGTTTCGGCAGTTTGCGTACTACATACATAATGACTTAAAAGGCCAGTATTAGTGTTAGGCATTTGTAAACTAATTCAAAGCTAGCTCTTAAAATTTTAGTAGTTTTATATTTTTACGTTCAGACCACAAGTGGTTGGTCTCTGTATCCCGAAGTGCGGGAACTCCTGTAATCTTATAGAGAATAAAGGGTAAAGTCAACTCTTCCTACTGGTGTTGTCCATTCCACACATATTTGAACGTAGCTTGAGTAAGCTCCCTGTTCCTATTCAGGACACATCATATTTCCAAAGCAAATCAAAAGACATACAAGTCCTGATACATGTTTTAATGAAGAGAATGTTTGAGAATTCTGAAGTTTTAAGTCGATTTTTCTTAAACCTTGGTACATGCAAACTTTAGAAACCTTTTTCCACAAATGATGCTTTTGTAGATTATAAAGTTTATCATAATTATAGCGATAATGTATACTCTTCTTTATTACGAATTGTATTTTCTTAATTTTTTTTCACTTCATAGGCATATCTCAAATATTTGTCTGACCATGGAGATGACGATCGCTTACCGGGACTTCCGCTGCTAACTAACGAAGAACTGTTTTTCGTCAGTTACGCTCAGGTATGTTAGTCATTATAGCAAAAGTGTGATTATTCGGTACATCCGGGACTTTAGCGATATCGGATTTATCGAACCAAAATTGTACAATGACCCAAATGAATCATTTTTCTGCGTTTGGTTTGGTCATTGAAGAATGAAAAAATAAATGTATACAAAAATATTTCAAACATATTTAATTGAACCAAACTCATTATTAAAAAGTCTATTCATAGTTTAATCATATTTATTAGTTTTTGCTTTGAAATCAACATTATCGCCAGTGCATGACGGCTTTCCGTATAAAGTTCGGATGTACATCTCTTCATAGATTCAAAAAGGAAACTTTTCTGTGATATATTAATTTGCGTTATTTCTCCAGTTTATACACTAATGATTGTGAAACTTGCAACACCATGAAAGAATAATGTATTATAGACTTATAATAATGTATTACGGAACCAAACTTACAGCAAATGTAAACTGAGGTTTGATATGCAAATGATTAGAATTACAAAGCGATTGTGCGTGCGTGGAATGAGATGTTCCATGAATGAGATGTTCCCTTGTTCCATGTATATAAAAGACTGTAAAGTTGCATTGAAATCAATTCATCGTCCTCTTTCTGCGGTGAACGTTTAATTAGTGATCAATATGCCTCGTCAACAGCGGAGAGTGCCATGCCTGCAAATAACAGAGTTCGAAAGAGGCCGCATCTTCGGTATGCTAAAGTTTGGATTTCCGTATCGAGCAATCGCAGCCCGCACGCAGCATAATGCGGGAACAGTGATGCGTGTTTGGAAGAAAGGGACAGAAGAGAACCAAACAAGGCGAAATCCTGGAAGTTGGGCACGCAATAGCGCAATGACATGGGACGACAGACACCTCATCCGCATAGCTTTGACAGATCGTACAACGTCCTGTCGTGTGTTAGCACAACGTTGGAGTACGGCTACAGGTGTTGTGTTGTCTAGCTGCACGGTTCATCGCCGTCTGATGCAGCATGAACTGGGTGCAAGGATTCCTCTACGCAGGATTCCCTTGTCGCTGAATCACAGAAGCTTCTGACTTCAATGAGCACGGCAACATAGTGCGTGGCGTGCCCTGTGGAAATAAGTTGTTCCCTCCGATTATCTCGCTTCAATCTGGAGTACAATGATGGAAGATTATTCGTCAGACGAGAGGAATATTTTCTCCCAAAGTATGAGGTGTGCTGATGCTACACGTTTGCGTGGTATCCAGCGTCGTACCGCACAAACGTGTGGCATCATCCTGTAGGGAGCTATTGGGTATAACTGTCGATTCATCTAGTGCATACTGCGGGCAACCTCAACAGTGATCACTACACACTAAGACTGAACATTCGCGTCAAGTGGAAGCCATATAGAATGCCACTTCCTAGGATTACATTCGGAACCTATAGGATTCAATGTCACGACGTTTACAGGCTCTCATCGCTCAGTGTGGCGGCCACACAAAGTACTGATTTCCGACGTTCGGATTTTTTTCTTGTAAATCTGATTGTTTATTTGTACCACTATCCGTAACATATGAAATAAATTTCATTCATTTGCGATAATTACTTCATGGTGCTGCATTTTCACAAACGTTAGTGTATTTCTAATTTTTTCGGCGAATTTTACAAATGTATTTATTGTTCTTAAAACCAAGTGATCTTCGTTGAATCGTCTTTTTCGACATTCTGCATTTCGTTAGGTACCCGCAGATACAACACTCTGTGAATTATGACGTCATGACGTAATTCTTCCGCAGCTAGTTAATTTTTCAGTTGGCGAGAATTTACGATCCAAGGAAATAGAGTAGCGTCTCTTATAACAGAAATATCAGTGATACAGAAGGTACAGGAACTATTATATAGGAATATCAGTGATACAGAAGTACAGGAATATATGTTATTGCCCCCAAACGCGGGAAACATCAATACGGTAATTCAGCTCCAAACACACGTTGTGAAGTGTATCCCGTATTATGAAGTTGACAGCAGGACTGACACGTTCTTGAAGATCATTCAGAGTTACGTCACACTACAGGAAGTATATACACATGGTACTTCACAAAACCCCTCAGAAAAACGTCATCCACAGAAAAATGTTGCAAACAATTACGTCAGGCGATCTTTGGGACACTTGATCATCGAGTCTCCCCATCGGTTTTCTGATGGATCGGAACCTCCCATCAGTTTGTGAGGTTCCAATCCATCAGTTTGTGAGGTTTTCCGTCTAGAAACCGGCGTAGAGTATGATGCCTGTGTGGTGGTGCTCCATATTGTAGCAGAATGCATTCATCTTTCTCTGCAATCACATAGCAATGTTAAAAAACTTCCACCTATAACTGTTTGTTCCTGAAAGAAGAACGGACCGTACCTCCGTCCGGCGCTCTGATACAGCGCAAACCACGTTCATTGTGGGAGAGTCATGTTCCATATCTAGAGGGACATGCGGACGCTCGGTTCCCCAGATCCTGACCTTGTGTCTATTTAAATTTCCGTTTAAATAGGTCACATAATCGTTGAAATTTATCTTCGTCAGAAGGATTTCAGCGTCTTTCATTAAAGTTTTGATAGTATCGCAAAGCTCATATCACTTACCTTGTCTTACGGGTAAAACATCTGAACCAACTGCAGACGATACGGGTAAACCGAAAACGCTTGCCTAAGATCTTGCTTACTGTTGTTTGTGGCACCTGCAACTCTCTGCTAGCTTTACCTGTTGACTTCTTCGGGCTGCATACATACATTCTCTCATGTACTCCACAGCTTTCTCCTTGATGGAAGGTTGCCAGAACGTCCTTTTCTTTTATCACAAATACACGCTCTCTGATTAAATGTTTTATGCCACTTCAAAGCGGGTTTGTGTATAGGCAAATAAATATCAGATTCGTTTGAACTCAGGCTGAACTCTCTAAACATTGCTAGTTTTTTCGAACTGTAACATTCGCAAGCTTCGTTGCTGTGGAGAAAACGCTATATTCGATATCTCTGACCTCTAGCAGTCGGACTCAAGCCGAGCGATTGTTTAAATAAAAGAAATGAAAAACGCTTGAGTCAAGTGAGTCGTAGATATCACATTTAACAACATATTCAAATAACTGTGAATTTTATAATATCTTGAAATCAGGGACTGATTTTGTCCTCACCTTACAGGTTGATTCAAAATTGTTTTTACATATTAAGAGTGCTGATAGTACTTGTCCAGATGAGCAATAATTACCATAGAACATAGGGTCGCATTCCACTCTGAGAGGCAAAAAGAGGAATATTAGCATTCCAAACCTGAACTTAAACAAGTGTTGGATAGCGAATGAACGAGACCAAAAGTTGTACAATCAGTTTAGTGAAAAACTCGCAGAGAGTGCACAAAACAGATAAAACCGAAAACTTGACGTTCGAGTGTTAATTCGAGCTCAGACGTTGATTGTAAACATTCAAATGTACATATTTGGTTGACAAGGTCTCAACCTCGCAAACGGCTGCAACAAGTTAATTATCTAAATCAAGGGTTGAATACTATCAACTAACTCCAACTGCCGCTGTATGCCGAGATTATCATGAAAAGTTCATGCTGTGTTTCCAGCTGTCAGAACCACAGAAGGGCGCTTCAAGCACAGCAAGTCCAGGAGGACAGGATAGAAGATGGCGAAGGGGGCAAACTGCTACCTTGGTACTTGATAGCTAGGTAGCAGCTTTTCCCCCTAATAGATAATTTACCCCTAATAATTTAGATAAAAAACTTGTTACAGTCGTATGCGAGGTTGAGACCTTGCCAACCAAAGATGTGCATTTGAGTATTTGCCATAAAAGTCTGAGCTCGAATTAACACTCGAAAGCCAAGTTCTCGGTTTTATCCGTTTTCCGCACTCTCTGTGAGTTTTCCACTAAACTGATTCTGCAACTTTTGGTCTCGTTCATTTGCTCTCCCAACACTGTTGTAAGTTCAGGTTGAGATTCTAATATTCCTCTTTTCTGCCTCTCAGAGTGGAATGCGACCCTATGCTGTATGGTAATTATTGCTCATCTGGATGAGTACTGTCACCCCTCTTAACTTGTAAAAACAACTTAGAATCACCCTATATATATTTACATTATGTGTGTATATGAGGGAACGTTTTGTTTGATCTATTAGATAATAGATTTTAATAATAAAGTGATTTTTTTTATTTTGCGAAGAATATATAAAAGTATAAATTCTTTATTTTCAAAACCATTCTACCTCCACGGCTGCAAAATCCAAAGTTTCCAAAATATTATTTTTCTTATTTTGCGAAAATTTATGATTGGAAATATACGTTTACATTCAATATTGAAAGAAGCTGTAGTCGTCTTTTTCTGTTTTTTTTTTTTTTTTTTTTTTTTTTTTTTTGTCTATACATATGGATATGTATTCAAGCAAATCTTTGCTTGAATTTAATAATATAATAAACATAAAAATCATTTAATACGTAATTTAATAATATAATAAACATTTAATACTAATACGTAATTTAATAATATAATAAACATAAAAATCAACTACACTGAAAAGTAGAGAAAGAGAGAGAAAATTAGTTAAATTTAAATTTAATAAATTTAATGTCAGGATTTTCAGCTTCTCTCTTGAATGCGAATAAGTAGATATAATTTATACTTATTCACTTAGACCATCCTCCACTATTGAAACAAAGCAAAGAACTAAAGCAAAGGATATAATAGAAAATCATGCTCAAAGAAACAGAATGCTAACAGTTAATACACTGAACAGAAGTGGCACAGGAATAGACAAGCTTCGTACAAATATTAAGATGCTGCTGCCTCACTTATCCATATGTGAAGACTCTTTTATAGGATATTTATGCTACCATGAAAGACCGAAGTTAGAGAATGTCAGTATTCTCCGTTGAATATCGACACATACTAAATACCTCATTGAAGGACCGAATATTTAATTATATTCTTTTACATTTGGACCATCGCTTATCTGTATCGACAAAAGCACAGATAAGTTCTGTTGGAAGTCGAAATGACAAGGTCAAAGAGAAGTGACAGAAATACCAAATCCTTTGTTCTGCCGTGATTGAGGTCACGTGAAATAAAGACTCAGCCACAGAAAAGTGACAAAATGCCAAATCATTTATTCTATTTTTAGCAATTTTGTAGCTTAAGTTTTTGTAGCAATTAGAAACCACTAAATGTTTCCTTTTTCTTAAAGATCAGGACATAGTCACAGGAGATTATTTGAAGAATATGAGGATGGCAGAGCATATCAATTCAATCGGGCGAATAATTTAGTCACATACTGAGCTATCTGTGCTAGAGTATTGTACTGAGAAATGATGGGAGGACTCTGACTCTTAAGATATGGCCCATGCATCATCCAGCCTAATAATATGTCACTAAGAAAGCCTTAACTTTGCGCTCTTAACTCTCTAGATGGATTTTTTGATAGACATTATAACCACTTTTGCACATCAGTAAACTGCCATTCCTTCGAGAATATCGTGACTATAAAACGTTTAGTCCATTTAATTATTAAATATAAGATAGTTAAGATACTAAACTAATATGTGGAATAATGTGCGAAAAACACTTCTTTCCTTACATAGCATATACACAATGGTGTTGCAGTTAATTTAATTTTCAGTATATGCCTATTGTTAAAATGGAAGCCTGGGAGAAGGGATGACAAATAAGAAACTTCCAGAGGAACACCAAAAATGACAATAACCAACTTGCGTAACGGAATATTAATATGGTTAATACAGAATACATTTAAATAAACAAATAATTAAATAATCAAAAGGGGAAAAGAAGAACTTTAGCCAAGCGAGCTATCGTTGTACTTGAAACTGACATATATGATAGCAGTTGGTACTAAAAACCCTAATAATGTATTTAAGAAATTTTCAGTAACTCTGACGTATCTTCTTAAAAAGATTCATGCCACGAAGCCATCTTAGTTAATGGTTTGTCTTCCATTATTTAATTACTTATCATGGATTTTACAAATAATTAAAGATAATGAAATAATTATTTAAATCTTTTGTCTTACTGCATAATCATTTGTTTGAAATTTCTTCTTTCAGCAATTCTGTGAGATCATTGGCGGTCAAGAGCCATCGCATCACAGCGCAGGACGCAGAAGAGTGAATTTAGTGTTAAAAAACTTTCCCTATTTCTCCGAAGCATTTGGATGCTCTTACGACAAACCTATGAACTTTTCTAAATGCGAAAATCTATGGATTTAAAAGTGATATTTTGTACTTCGTTCTGTAAATATACATTGAGTGTTTCATGATTTGTATTGGAATAAATTCAGCTTATTATTCGAAAAATAAAATTCTGAGCACAGTTACGTGTATTACAAAGTTTGAATTCGAAATATTTGAATGCTCTCTAACAGCATAAATAATTAGACCAGATGTGAGATACAGTAGGAAATTTGCATTTGAGAAGCCTTAGATATAAACAAGCTCTTTTTCAAGGTGTTAATTTGAGAAGCTGTAAAATATCACTGTGATAATATTGATAAAAATAATAATTGTTATTAAATTAATGAATGTCTCCATATCTTATGGAAAATACATATTATACATCATAAATTAGTGTCACAGAACAATTAACAATATTAATGTGATATATGTTTGATGAGCTCTTTCCTTTTGTATAACAAATGCATTCTATAATGCATTATCGAATGCATTTGCATCACTTTTACATGCATGTATAAATCTGCTTTCTTGAAAGAAATATTTGAATACATTTTTTGTTAAACGCTTACATGATTGCGGTCTGTAACTTTCACAAGCATTGCAAATGATTTAAATTCTACAAATTCTACAGGTATTCAAACTAGTAAGTATATTGTGCTTGTAGAATGTAGAATATACTGTACAGATGTATACGCTTACATTATCCTTATAAATGATAAATAATTTTGATTTCATTTGAAATATTCAATTTTAAGTGATTTCATATCCCCAGTATTGCACAGCATATTTATGCAGAAACATTTTACCATTTTGTTAGCTATTTAAAATTCCATAGTGTACTGGAAAATCGCAGTTTTCGTTCATTTGATTTCTCCGACAATTCTGCTTCCCTTTTATTGTTTTGTTGTTTTAAATCAATGCAAAACCTTTGATCGAGTTTTTAGATTTGGCATTTTTGACAACTAAAATGTTTCGTTTAAATTGACTTGCAGGCTGTTAATTAAAATATACTAATAGATGCGCATATTCACTTACGCTATTAGAAAGTAGTCTAGATTTAGATTATTTGGTATTTTAGAAGCCACGTTCAAAAAAAAAAAAAAATATGCACCCTTTTTGCGATAAATAAATTTTAAATGCACTTAAGAGTTTCATAAAAAATAACTTTAGCAATAAAAAAAACCGTTTAAAACAGGGGTTCCCAACGGAATCGGTATTGAGGCCCTGGGGGTTGAGAAAATTTCATAGGCGATTAGTGATGGTCAAGAGATCAGTTGCCAAACTATGCACCAGCAACTCATCGACCTAATCAAGATCCCACTAGTTGCAAGAAAAACAAATTAATAAAATTGATAATCAATTGTGTACTGATATAAAGCTGTAGCGTACAAATAAACAAAGTTTCATTCAAAACGCATTTGTACAATAAGCTTGGAAATTTAGAAGTCATGCGAGAGAAATGTCCTCAAATAAAAGGTATTACTAATCCAACATTATTGACTTCCCTCTTTTCAACTAACGGAAGCAGGCTTTAGTTAAGTCAATAATTTACTACGGACAACAAAAGGCATTTTGAATATTTTTAAACAAGGTGATTTATGAATTAAGTTATCGTCCCAGCACTAGCTTCAACTTCAGGTTCTATATTTCAATCTTCGAAACTATTACTGCAAAGTTATGAACGTTACTCGGATTATTGTTGCTTTAACTACTCCAATAACCTTGTACCTGTATTTTACGTAATTTAGATAAAGCACATGAGAATTATGAGACTAAGCTTCGTTTCCATTTTCATTGCTCTTAGGAGACGGAATTAGAGGATGCTGTGACTCTGTTTCTTGCACTTTTTGTGAGAAAAATTATGTAATAAGCGAACATAAGAATTAAAAAATTTTGCAGTTTAAAATACGTCAATCAAAAGTACTCGATGAGTAATTGAATTGCTGATATAAGTAGTGACAGCACCATGGCTAGTTAATGAAACATGAATGCTGATTATTTATTGACTCTTGAAAAAATAATTTTGAACGAATTTCTCGATCTCCCTATGCAACTGATCATAAATTCCATGTATATTCACAGAACAAACAAACCAAGTTTTATAAAGCTCATAATTTGCCACGCATATTGTAAGACAAGTAGCCACTATCATTTGTACATAATCCGCAAGAAGATTAGTCAAAATGCAACTGAAACACGTTGCAAGCTATCTTACACCAAGAAACCATTTTTTTTCGAAGTTAAATTATGATAGACTAAAATAATGTTTCTGTGCTTTTTCAATTAAAAAACAATAATTGCTCAAACTGTTTATTCAGTACTACTAATAATAATATCATTAAGGCACATAGAGCAGAAGCTGAAGTAACGAAATATGTGTATATGTATGAACATACTGGTGAACTTTTATTCTCAAATTAGCGAAGTATAAAAGTAGACTCTGATGCATAGATCCTTTCTGATTATCCGCATCTCTGATTCCTCAGAAGAATTGCTATGTTTTTTGATTATCTTTCTGAACACACATGACAATAGGCAACCCACACACACATGACATTAGTATACATATTACATTAGCTATGTGGACTGAATTTTGGATGATGCTGGTGAAAGTAGTCATTAGTTGCATCTATAGCTATAAAGTATAAATATTGGGCCACACAAAGAGTTTTCTTGTTTCCCATAAAATGTTTCATTATTATTTGAAATCTCTAAGCTGTAAATAGCTAAATAACCAATTCACAATGTCGCCAATGAGTTGTGGATTTTTTGCAGTAGTTTGTCGATAATCAGAGTATACCCATGCATGTATCTTCAGTTACTTAAACATGTGAAATAATTGTGATTGTTAACAATGATTGGAATGCTGTTATAAGAGCATCATTACTACCAATAGACAGCAATTCTTATTTAAGGGTGAAAATTGTCTGGCAATTGTAATTCTTGTGGTTATCCAATATAAAACAAATAATTTCACTGTACACTCTTGCCTAATACTATTCTCATATTTAAATGAAACTGAAGAGTCATTTGAGATCTCATATCATATTAGTTTCAATGTAGCCACCTCCAATGCAAAAATTCACAAATGATAGTATAAAAAATATTTATAATATAAAGTACTAACATAAGCAACATTTTGAACATAACTCAAATGAAATTTCATTAATATTTAAATATGATAAATCAAAACTAAGTAAATGTTTTCTAGATTTCTTAAGTAATACGATTTAAGCTCGTTAAGCCATTTACTTAACGAGTCATTTTTGTGCTGAACTAGAAGTAAATTAATACTTGTAAATAAAGGGAAACTTATAAAAATATTACGCAGTCCATGCATATGAGTAAATTTACCCTACTAACTCTTCATAATGAAGCCACATAAACAGTTGATTTGGAAGAAGTAATTCCTGTCTTTACACGTCTGAAGCTAGGAAATTTAATAATTTAAAATTATTTTACTTAAAAACATACATTGTTATAAGTTTTAATACATAGGTAACACTAATATGTTGTATAATGAAAAGAGCTGCACTAACTAGTATTTAAACAGTGCAACATCTGTTTATGTTTGCATATCACTGGAAGCTGGAATCGATATTAAATGTTCGATTAAAAATCTAGTTACTCATTCATGAAAGGCAAGATTCAGTTTGCCATCGAGGATTTAAAGTTGAATAGTGAAAAACTGCAATATTTTTTAATGTAGGTTCTCAGCTGTCACTAAAGTTGCCACGAGACATTGAATGATATAGTAAGATTATTATGAGATGTACTGTATTGCTTCTAAACGTTCGATTTATAAAGCAATGTAAAATTTTAATTTGAAGAAATGTAAAGAAATTATGTCCCACACTTTTCTGAGAGCTGCAGTACTGTAGCCACTGTAATGATACTGACATATAAAAATGAACTGCTTTTTGTTGGTTGAATTGAATTATGCTGCGACGAGTGCTGAGTACTCCCATTTCTTTCCATTTTTAATTTTCAAACTTCAGTTGTTAAGAAATAAGATACTTCCATGCAATATAACTTATACCTGTCAGAAACATAAAAGAATGAATAAATAAATGTATGGAATAAAAAGAAAAAAAACTTTCTAATGGTACCATTTTTATACCGCTGCGTAAGATAAATGCAAAGGTTGATTATTGTAGATTGTAAAAACAATATGCACGATGACTGAGTGTTTTCAAAGGTAGAAGTTACAATGAAATCTGCTGCTGATTTGACAGGGTGTGATAATGAAAATTAAAAACGAAAAAACATGTTTTGGAAGCGTGAAATATTAAATAACAGAATAGTTACATCATTATTTGCATCCTGTATTCTTTCTTCAATTGCTGGAAATGTCTTATCAGTTTTAAGATAAGTACTAAAATATACGATAATTTAGGTTATTTTTAAAGCAAGCTGTGCAATTAAAAATTTGGGGAGGGGAGGCAATAACTTTTTTTTTCTTACATTTCCTATCTTAGTTGGTCATCCTATCGAATGAAAAACTCGGCATCTGAAAACCGGGACAGTAAATAATTTTCAGCCCATTTCTTGTCGGTATTAATTTCCAGCGTCATTGTTTCTCTGTTTATTTATTAGAAATTTAATACTGCGTAAGTAATACAAAGAAATAACCCGTAGAATTATTGTTATTAATAAATCTGGTAAGGAGCAAAATTTTTATAACATTGTGATCAATTAGAATTATTAGTAGTCAATAAATTGTCGTCGGATGACAACTTGAGGTTAACAAAAAAGAAACGTGATTTTTTTTAATATGGAAGCATACAAAAAATAAAGAATTAAAAATATATATATAAATTAGCAGTTTTGCAATTTTCTCGATCTTCTTTTATTTACGGGCTCAAACTTCCAAACTGGAAATTAAAAGTTTTTAACAAAAATGAAATATTCGAAAAAATGATGAGACCAAATTATTAAATTGTTGTTAAAAAATTCTATATTGAAAATATTATACAATCGACGAGGGCACTTTGAGAGAGATTCAAATTTTCTAATAAGAAAAGCTTAAAAAATGAAATGTTAAACCTGTCTGTGAAGGCTTTTAAAAAATGGGACTACTGATAAAATGAATTTTTTAACGAAATAATGATGAGAATAATTATTTTAAAAATTTCAAATGATA